ATTTCCATTAAAAATAACTTCTCTAATTTGATCCGCAGAACTTATGTTCGCACAGTAAAAACTTTGAACGTTGACTCATTTTCTTTTTACTCGATACTACGTCCATAAATTGTTGTGCTTAGATTAGATAAGTTTCTATACATGTTATGGTGTACGGGCTTTATACACATGTACATACAAACACACATACACATACATATATGGACACGGAACTAATAATCAAATAAAGCTAACCTTTATACTATCTATAATATCGAACAATTTAAAAAACAACACTGCCACAATTTCTTCTACGTACACAGATAAATATATATATATATATATATATAAATAGATTTATATATATATGTATATATATATATAAAGCGAACGATATCCTATCATAACATATATAGAGGAAAAGAGGATAATTATATATATTGTTACAAAGATGCCGCTCTTTGCCCGTAAATCGTCGAAAAGCTCCTCCGATCACAGCGATATCAGCCAGGATAGCAAAGGACGTAACAAATCCTACGATTCCAATACACAGAACAACAATAACAATCAACAGAATAATAACAATGATGTGGACAAGAAGCCGCCATTGATCTTCCATTGTCAATTGGCACATGGCAGTCCGACGGGCTTGATCACTGGGTTCGCTAGCGTCCGGGAGCTGTATAAAAAGATAGCCGAATGCTTTGATATATCCGAAGATGATATTTTATTCTGCACCCTGAATTCGCATAAGGTGGACATGACACGTCTGCTGGGCGGACAGATTGGTCTAGATGATTTTATATTTGCCCATCGCAAGGGCCGGGCCAAAGAGATTGAAATAATCAAGACGCAGGATGCTTTGGGTCTAACCATAACAGACAACGGTGCGGGCTATGCGTTCATCAAGCGCATCAAAGACGATTCCATTATCGATCGCATCGAGCACATTTCGGTGGGAGATCACATCGAGAAGCTGAACGGAGTGAATATGGTGGGCAAACGGCATTATGAGGTGGCACGCATGCTGAAGGACATTGGGACGGGCGAGACGTTTACGTTGCGCCTGGTCGAGCCGGTGCGCAGCGGTTTCCAGGGGATCGGGCCGCGTAGCCAATCGCGTGCATCCGGCTCGGCGCCTGGACTCAATGCCGGACGCAATTATGGCTCCGGCAAGGAAACGCTACGCTTCAAGGCCAACGGCAATGCACAGATTGAACCGAAATTCGATGAGGCCACCAAAGCGGGCGTCGAAGCCATCAATGGATTGCTGGAGTCCTTTATGGGCATCAACGATACAGAGCTGGCTTCGCAGATCTGGGAGCTGGGTGACAACAAATCGAATTCGATGGACTTTGCGGAGGCTATCGATAGTTCCGATTTGGAATCTTTTGGTTTTACCGATGATTTCATTATCGAACTTTGGGGTGCTATAACAGATGCGCGTCGTATAAGCAAATAGAAACTAAGCGGATCCTAAGTGATCATTCATAATTACAACAACAACAACAACAACAACAACAACAACAACATTTGCATTTTTGTTACAAATAATAAAACTAAATCAAAATCTAAAAAGAAAAATCTATAAGCAACTAGAAAGAAAAATCATTTTTCATCAGCTCTTTTTATTATTTCTCTTAATTGTTAGATCTTAGCATAAACATATCGATAAAAACATATATATATTTACTTATATATATGTATTACATACACTTGTATTTATTTGTATGCCCTGCATTTGCCAATTATTTTGTATTTGTTATAATTATCTATTATAAATATATATATTTATATGCATACAAATTGACAAAAAACGTAGCAAGTAACAAGAGAAAGAAGAAGAAAGCAAAAATATATTTTACATTTTTATATATTATATTATTTTGGTACAATTTGTTCAATGTACATAACTATGCATTTGTCTTTAGTTATTATTTATATCTATAAACAAATTTATAAAATAAAACTTAAATTATTTACAATTGATTTTAGTTTTTATTTAATCTTATATATTTTTGTGTAATTTTTAATTTACGGTAAGTTTTTAGTTTAGTGTTTCATTTCTCTCAGTGTAGCCATGTTTTATTTATCATTTGGCACTCGACAACAATTTGTAGACACATTTTGCAAAAAAGATTCCACCAAGACAACAAAACTATGACAAATTTTTCAGCATATATATTTCGAATTTTAATTTTTTTCTTTTTTTTTTGCAAGTATGAGAAGGCCGTGAGCACGTGCGTTTTCGACTCTTGGTCGAATTTTCTTGACGGCTGCCACTCAAACATATATACACACATACACCTATATGTATTTTAAATACGTACAGCCATTTCCTGTCGATCGGTTAGTTCAGAAAGCTTTGCGGAGCCTTTATTACGAATGCAACATCGGACGACGCGACGTCATCCCCATCAATCCACATTACACATACACAGCGACACACATACATATATACGTACATACTGCAATTGCAAAATGTACAACAGCAGCTGCTTAAGGCACAGCTGATAAGCACAGTTATTAAATTTATGGTTGTGTTTGAATAACTACAAGCACAAAGAGAGCAATGGCAAAAGAGAGCGAGCGGGAGAGAGAAAAAAAACAGTCCAGCAGCAAACAGCTGCTCAGCAACAAACCATAGCAACAACTTTTCTTGACAACAAGAACAATGTTTTACAAGATACACTTTCCGGTTTTACAGGTTTTTTTGCCTTCTCCTTCTTCAGTCAAACAAACATAGCGCAAAGCTCTTTTTCTCTTAAGCATTGCGCGCAACGTGTACGCCGCTCTCCCACACGCACTCATACATAGACAGTTGCTTAATTTAATTAGCTTTGGCAGACTGCTGTTCGACTAAAAAGAGACGTTGCTGTAGCTTGAACGTTCAGTTGTGCAAGCGCTGTCGTCGAAGCAACAGGCAAGACGGAAAGACTTAAAACGTTCAACACAAAGAACCTGAAAAAACTTGTTAAAAATTTTGTTCATAAATTGTGCCAGCTTTAAAAAAACAACAACAAATAAACATTAACTATAGCAAATTATTTCAAGTTCTGCTGTAGCAGAAATAGAGTAAGGCCCAACCTGGTCTTGCTAGTTTTTCGTGGAAATCCAAAAAATAATTAAATAAAACAAAAAATACCAAGGAAACCACAAAAGCGAAATAAATAGATTTTCAAAGAAGAAGAGCCAAAAGAAGACAAAAAAAGCAACGAAGGTAGCGGACACATAAAATTTCCATTATACTAGAAACGTGTGCAATTCAATGTGATTTTTCTTGGCACACAAAATTGTTCGACTTTGTTCCTGTTCTTGTTTTTAAACAGGGTGTGTGAGTGTATGTGGATATGTGTATGTGTATGTCTTGGACTTTGGTCGTGACTCAACACAATTCACTAAGCAGCATTGCCACTAATAAATAAACACAAACATTAAAAATTTGTTTAATACACGTCAATTGGTTGGCCCGCTGCGCTGCTTACGACAAATTAGCTTTGCTTATTTGAATAGCGTCTGGTTCGTTAACAGTTGTTGCTGCTGCTGCTGCGAGTAATTGCATTGTTATAAATCCCGTTCGCACTCTCTCCGTCTCTTTTCATTTGCAAGTTTTTATGCGTTTTGTTTTGCTTGTGTCTTTTCGCACGTTGCGTTGCGTTGCGTTGCGTTTTGTTTTGTTTGCAGGTGAAAGTAACGACGCCGACGTCGCGTGATAGGTGGCGTGTTGTCTGCGTTACCATTGGGCTGAACCAAATTGAACTTATTTAAACAAACCCGATCAGATCTAGTTGTCATTATTCAAAAGAAAGCGTTTATCAAAACTCTTATCAACTACAAGACGAACATGTCTAAGTGCTACAATAAGAGTATCGTCCATAACATTTTTGACCATTTCCTTTGCGATAGCAAAAACAATAAACGTTCAATGATAAAAATAAAAAAGATCTAGCTAAAAACTGGCTGACAACAATTGTACATTGACCTCAACAGTAGACGGGCAAATTCTAAACAAGTGTTTTTTTTTTTGTATTATTAAATTATTGAATGCCAAAGACTTTGTGTGTATGCGTTACTATTTCTAGAGCAGTTAAACCCGATTTGCCTACACATACTTATATACTGAGAAACGCACAACTTAATCAACATGTCACTGGGCTGATAAACACAATAATTTACTTTTTATATATTTACAAATCTATAAATGTGCTTATGCATGTGTGTATGTGTGTGTTTGTTTTAAATGCCGCCTTGTGAAATCGCGTGATGTTTTCCAGTGGCATGTGAAATGAGTAAGCGCTTGTGTATGTGTGTCTCTCGACGATATGATTGTTTTATTACACACAAACATAAAATCGGTAAAACACGCCACTAAAACGGTTAACTATCACACCATCTTCTTTTATCGATAACAATTGCATAGATATGCATGCATACACGCACTAACACATATATGAAAGCTCTGTTGCCAAAGCCGCAACAATTACAGTTACACCTTACGTATTGCGTCGGCGGGCTTTGTCTCAAATGTTTATTTTTAAATTAAATATAATATGGCTATATCTACGTAACTTTAAAAACTCGCTGTTAACATAATATCAAATATTACACAATACGCAAAATGTACTCAATATGGTCAGGCAAATATATTATATCCCAAAGCGAATTTAAGCAAATTCGCCTTCCATTTCAGTTATCTCAATAATTCGCTATTCATATTTGTTTTGCTTGCATTCGCAATACATTAACCTTGACTTTCAGAGCAAAGCAGAAGGAAGACATTCGCAAATTGAAAACAGTTAGCAACAGCGACAGCAACAAAATAAAAATATTAGCATTTTGAGCCAATTTCTTGTTTCTTTCATCTTTTGCATTTATTGCACTTGTGGTTGCATTTAAAATGCCACAAAAGACTTTGATATATGTCGCAAGGGTTTATTTATAAGCATAGCGGAAAGAAATCCATATAATATTTAAATAAATCAATGTATGACTTACAGCTGTGTTTTTTCTGTCATTTACAGTTGCCCGAAGATTGATTCAACAGCAGAGCGAACGGATCGCCAACAACAAGTGCAATAAAATGTATTATTATTAAGTACGCTAACACATACAATTCAAGCCGGAAGAATCACGCACAAAAACTAAGAGCGAAAACGAATTAAATTGAATCGAATCTAAAGCGATATCGATACAGATACAAGTGTGCATATCGATTATTAAAGTTCAAGCAAAATGAACAGTTTGGTGCGTGTTTTTAGCAATTTGCAAGACTTTTACAATGACATCAATGCAGCAACACTGACTGGAGCCATCGATGTGATCGCTGTGGAGCAGCCCGATGGCGAATTTCTATGTTCGCCCTTCCACGTGCGCTTTGGCAAGCTGGGTGTGCTGCGCAGTCGCGAGAAGGTGGTAAGTAGCAGGGAAAAGAGTCGGTACTGGAAGGATTTTCTATTAATATTGCATTTGTTTTTTGTTTTTGTTAAGGTGGACATTGAAATCAATGGCGTGCCCGTTGACATACAAATGAAATTGGGTGATTCGGGTGAGGCGTTCTTTGTGGAGGAATGCCTGGAGGATGATGATGATGAGTTACCCGCCAATTTAGCCACTTCACCCATACCAAAGAGTTTTCTACAATCTCTGAACAACAAGAGCATAGACATACTCGAGGATATGCGCACAGTTGACAAGTAGGTGACACGTAGATTCCATTGCCAAATTGCAGCTAGCTACATTAAAAGATCATTATCATTAATATAGAAGCGCTAGCGATGATTTGCAAATACCGTTGCCAATACCGCGTCGTAACTCAATTGATCTCTCCAAGGAGGAGCCAAAGGAAATTGCTGTAGAGGGCAGTAACAAATTCGAGAATCAGGCCTCCGACTATACACACCGCAGGTAGACATAGCTTTGATAGAAATCTTGATCTCAATCTCGAAGACGATATCCTTATTATTTTGTTTTACTATATCTACAGGCACACGGACAACACGCTGGAGCGACGCAAATTGAGTGAATCGCTCAAGGAGTATACCACACGAAAGATGCGTGAAGAATGGGCAGAGCACGAGGAGCTATTCCAAGAGAAAAAGCAGCCCGAAAAGCTAGAGAAAATGCCGGATACAAAAGCGGAATTGGAAGCGAGAACAAATGTGGAATCACAACCAGAATCCATTGTGAAACCACAAGCTTCATCACAACCCGAAGAAAAGCTAGCTCAAACGCCTCCATCAGCCAAACCGGAAGTTTTGATAACGACACCAACAAGCACAATTGCGGAGGCAGCAACAACTATCTCCAACGACACCAACAAGGACGATGCCAAAAACAAGACAAAGAAGCGACGCAAGAAGTCGCAAATGAAGAAGAAGAACTCACAGCGCAAAACATCATCGAGCAGCTCTGCGGGCAGCGCCGCTGGCGGCGATATGGCCAACGCAGATGCCAACTCCATCAACTCGATGCTGGCCAGCAACATCGATGAGACCGACGTGGTGGCGTTAAAATCTGTTTCTAAGACGACCACCAATTCCTCCTCCAATGATGAGCAGGCATCGGCCGCACTCCTAACCGCACACACGGGCAATGATAGTCCATTGAGTGAACTCAACCATGCTGCCACGCCCACGAGTTCGATGCGTCATGATCTGGACATACATTTCTTCAGCGACACAGAGATAACCACACCAACGGGTATTGGCGCTGTTGGAGCTGGCAGAAATGCGGGCCGACCATCGACGCCCATACAAAGTGACAGTGAATTGGAGACAACAATGCGGGATAAACGTCATGTTGGGGACGATGAGAATAGCGCGTTATGGAAATGGGGTGAATTACCCACTCCGGAGCAGACCAAGGGAACGGTTAGTGCTGCGGATGCACAGCAAAACGAGCGGCATTGGATGATAAGCAATATGTTTAGCTTTATGCGGCGGGCGAATCGTTTGCGCAAGGAGGGTGCCACAGAGGCGGGCGACATCTATCTATCCGATCTAGAAGTGGGCAGCATGGATCCAGAGATGGCGGCTCTTTACTTTCCCAGCCCCAAACCCAAGGAGACGGATCGCGAGAGTGGCAATGGTACTAGTCTGCCCCATTCACCAAGTTCCCTGGAGGAGAATCATAAGAGCTTGGATTCGGACTTCGATGAGACCAACAACAAACAGCACGCACCACATGGCAAGAAGTGCGTAGCTGCTAGGCGAATGCTATTGCAACGCGACTATCAAGAATTTATGTCTTATCCACTGAATTTATATTTGAATAGATATTTGGACTTCGTGGCCATGTCCATGTGCGGCATGCAGGAGAATGGTGCACCGCCCAAGGATGACGATTTCGATAGACAGCTGGTCAGCTATGCAGATGTAAGTTTTTAACCTTGCAAACCGTTTCAGCCTGAACCGTTAACAAACCTATCGATTGGCTGCATGAAAGCGAGTATTGATATATTTCATATCGGCGATAAAATGTACTTGAATATTTTGTCTGGTCTATAGATGATCGCATCTTTGATAAGTTTTATATCAGCCTACTACAGATAATTATCGCTACCAATCGATAGGCTGGTAAATAGTTATCTGTGCAATTGTCTGCACTTCAACCCACAACATTGCGTTACACAGCACTGCACGCTGCACAAATTAACAAAAAGAAAACAATACAAATACAAATACAAATGCATTTATACTCATGCTTGCCTGCCGACCCGCTGTTTCCCTACTATAGGTGTGCAAAAATCCAAATATGTTCGCATCACAAAATCTAGTTGTACGTCTGAATGGCAAATACTATACCTGGACGGCTGCATGTCCCATTGTCATGACAATGATAACATTCCAGAAGCAACTAACCGATGTAAGTGTTGTCTAATGCCCGAATAGAATAGCTTACCTGTATTACCTGTACCTTGAAATCTTCTAATGCTTCTGTTGTTTACTTTCAGGATGCCATAGAGCAGCTTATTTCGCCATCTACCCAAGCTGCGGATGATGACAAGCCGGAAGCGTCGCACCAAACGGAACATCCTGGTCAAACCAAGCGTTCGTGGTGGAACTGGCGTAGATCTCAAGATGCGGCGCCTAATCAGGCGAAGATTCATAAGAATGGTCCAATGTCTAAGGATGAGAAGGGTAACGTTCTTTAGCAATAACTCTACAAATTGATTTTAAGCCAAATTTAATCTATTTTAGATGGCGATCAGGCCGCTGTTAGCACACAAACATCGCGCCCCAATTCTCCAGATTTGAGCGATCCAACGCTTAGCAAGAGCGATTCGCTAGTAAATGCCGAGAATACTTCCACACAGGTGGATAATCTGGAGGAACTTACCATGGGCTCCAGTAAGAGCGATGAGTCTAAGGAGCGCTATAAGAAAACGTTGCGCCTCAGCTCGTCGGCCATTGTGAGTGCCTTTTGAAGCTATTCCTAAAATTCTCATAATCCTATCTTCTCTTCCTCCCGTTCTTCAGAAAAAACTCAACCTTAAGGATGGCATGAACGAAATCGAGTTCAGTGTAACGACCGCTTATCAGGGCACCACGCGTTGCAAGTGCTATTTGTTCCGCTGGAAGCATAATGATAAGGTTGTCATATCGGACATAGATGGCACGATTACCAAATCAGATGTATTGGGTCATATATTGCCCATGGTTGGCAAAGATTGGGCGCAATTGGGCGTTGCTCAGCTATTCTCGAAAATTGAACAGAATGGTTATAAGTTGCTCTATCTATCGGCACGCGCCATTGGCCAGTCACGCGTGACGCGCGAGTATTTGAGATCGATCAGACAAGGGAATGTTATGCTGCCCGATGGTCCATTGCTCTTGAATCCCACTTCATTGATATCCGCCTTTCATCGGGAAGTCATTGAAAAGAAGCCGGAACAATTTAAGATCGCTTGTCTCTCGGATATACGGGATCTATTTCCGAAAAAGGATCCCTTCTATGCAGGTTACGGCAATCGTATTAATGTGAGTCGCACTTTATTGTTGGATCATTCTAAATACTAATTAGTAAAAAATGTTCTGTTATGCAGGATGTATGGGCCTATCGAGCTGTTGGCATACCCATTATGCGTATATTCACGATCAACACGAAGGGCGAGCTGAAACACGAATTGACCCAAACATTCCAGTCATCGTAAGTGCCAGATATCATATCATATATGTAGCTGTAAATGGTTATGGTCCAATCATTAATACATTTGTTAACCGTTGGCTCAGAGAAAAGCTTAAACCAGCTAAGTGCCGAAAAGATCATTCTATTTACTCATGATAGAAAAGCTCGCTGTTAGATTTCATGTGCTTTCAAACGTTGGTTTTTAGGGAGCTATAAATCATACGAATTCCCTTAATTGATTAACCTCATAAAGCAAAGCTAGGTGTCTAGTTCATAAGTAATACTATATATCGTACAATATATGTATATGTGTGTGTAGGAACTTCATTTAATGTACTACCAAAAAATTCACACAATCAGTCGCAAATCAATCAAGAGCGTTGAGAGTACAAACAAATTCTACTCAAGCATTTCGATTGTCAAATTTATAGTGGCTACATCAATCAGTCGCTCGAGGTCGATGAATACTTTCCCCTGTTGATGCAACACGATGAATACGAATATCGCACCGATACTTTCGAAGATGAGGATTTGCCTGATGAGATACAATTCAGCACCGATAATTCCGATATAGACGACGATAGTGATGATATCGATAATGATGATGATGATGACGACGAGATTAACGTTGACAATGATGATGATGATCAGGATATGAGCCTCATTATGGCCGGCCGACATGGTGCCAAAAATGAAATATTATTAGCTTCGCCACCAAAATGGCTAAACTAACTTAACCTATGACTAAGTCAAAAATATGGGAATTATCCTAAATTGTGATATTCAAATATTTGTAGCCATTAAGTTTATAGTATTAGTTTATAGACGGGAGCACACCTTTGATAGCTGCAACTCCCAATTTATTAATAGCCATAAGTTAAAGAATTATGAACAACCCACACGAAGTATGCCTAGTCTTAAAAGCTGGCGAACAATCAGATTTAGATCATAAGCCTTTTAGTTTAAATTGTTTTCTTTTTTGCTATTAAGTTTTATACACAAATAAAATGTGTGCATACTCTTTGGCTGTTTATCATTGAGACTTTTTTCATTATTGCAAAGCACGTGGCATGAGTTTGAGGTTAGGTTAGGTTGCGGCACAACTTTGAGGTTAGGTTGCAGCAAATTTTTGAGGTTAATTTGCGCTAAATCGAATTTCTGTTGCATACGCTTGGGCGCTGAGCCAATGGCAAACATACAATAATATTGCATAGTTTACGTCGATAATTTACTTAACTTTATTAACATTGATTGCTCTCCTATAGGTACTGCAGCATGACGTACATTGTGGATCAACTGTTTCCGCCCGTGAAGCATGATGAAGTTGACATCGAGTTCTCCAACTTTAACTATTGGCGCGATCCCATACCGGATCTGCCCGAGCTGGACACGGAGCTGGTGGCGCCAAATAAATTAGATATAGCCACACTGAGACCCATTCCAGAGAAATGAATAATTCATAACAAAAACATACATTATCTAAACATATATTTAAACAATATTCCCATTAATAATATAGTCAAAAGCTTTCTATCGAGTTATATATTTCATAAAAAGAATGGAAATGTTCGTTTCGCACACTAAATTTATTTTTTCAAAAAAAAAAAAGAAATTTAAAAAAAATATTAAATTTATTAATTGAAATTTCTAAATACATTATGCGTATGTATACTTTATGATTAAATTAAATTTAATTATATATTAAGTTTTTTGTCAACAACCAGAGAAAGTGATTTAGCCTATTTTTGCATTAAACAAAGTAATATTTAGTTAATTTTGATTTGTTTTCAAATTTGAGCTGAATTTATTTATTTTAGATTTTTTTTTAATGTTTATAGATATTAAAAATCAATTGTAAACTGAAATTCCCGAGCTACTATATTGAAATCTTGTGATTTATGATTTAAAAAATATTCTTTTGTATTTCGCTTACATTTATAATTTAATATAATTTCTTTTGTGATGATCAGCTAATGATAAACTAACTATGCTTATAATTAAGTTCTTGCGCTGCTGGGCCTAAATCATTGCTTAAAAGAAGTATGATAATTAACTCTGCTTAGCCTGAAAACAAAAACAAATATATACATTTAAAAAAAATAAATATTTCAAATGTTTAAATAAAAAAAATATTTTAAACGAACTTTATACATATTGACATTAAGTGAACTTCCTTAAACCATCTCTTGGGATTAGGTTGCACTGCAAAGTCAACTAAAACTTGCCTTAACTAGAGCTGCCTTTAGTTCACAAGGCGTTCCGAACTCTCGACTGTTCCAAAATGAGGTTCACTTCTAGTTCATTGACGATTTGATTTAAAATTCTACAGTTCCAGGCACAATAAAGACAGCTGAAATCGGAATGATGATTCCAACCAAGTTTATGTACTCTGATTCGTGTTCAGAGCTTGCCTTGACGCGGTTCTTATTACAGTTCATAGCCAAAGGAAAACCTGCTCGAACCGGTTCGCTGTAAATTTTGAATACGAGATGAGCTGTATAATTCGTAAACAGAAAAATCAGGCGACACTCAAACTGGGCAAACAAAAAAAATAAAACATAAACTCAAGTTGCAGTGGAAATTTTTCAAATGTTCATAGACACAATTGTTGACGTTGTTGTTGTTGTTGTTGTAGCCATTGTGTCGTCTAGCATGCATACATAAACATGAGAACATTCGAGTAGAAAATCTGCGATTATGAACAAACCACAGCCCCAGCCGCACCGAACAATCAAATCAACGTTGAGGGAGGCGTGGGCCAGCGAAGGGGTCGTTGCTGGGCTGGGGGTAGTTTTGGGGGGAGGGTGATGCGCTAGCATCTCTCAGCACAGACATGAGGGCAAGTATTTGTCAACGTAATTTTTGCCAATTCAATTAATGCTCATTTAAAGCACAGCGGCAACAGCCAACTGCAGCAGCGGCAACATCATGATGATCATCATTATTCGCATCATCATCATGATCAGCATACAAAAGCAGCACAGCTGCCTAATGGGGCAGACATTATCAGAGGTTATCAAAAAAGATTTAGCATGATTTCAATAAAGAAATCACTCGAAAAAATAAGGATATATATATATATATCTACATATATACATGCATACATACATATATAGATATATATCAAATATATACACATATATATATATGGTTTGATTTATGCCTTTACAAAAGGAAACGAACTTAATTTTTATAAATTATAAAACTTATTTTTTCAAAAATATATACTAATTTTTTTTAAATGTTTGTTATCTACATTGTCAAATAAAGCAAAAATTATATTTATTTTTAAAATTATTGACAATTTAAATAATTTTAAAAATAAATTTAATTTTTGATGTATCTGAAAATTAAACCTAAAATTATTTGTTATATTTTAAAAAATATTTTTTTAAAATTATTTTGTTTAAGCAAGTTATATATATATATAATATATATATATATTATATATATATAAATTAATTTAAAAAAATATAATATATATATATATATATATAATAAGCTTAAACAAATTAATTTTAAAAAAATATTTTTTAAAATATAACAAATATATATATATATATATATATATATATATATATATATATATATTTGAAATTGTTGCTAATATTTTTTAATTATGTCAATTTCATTACTTTTTAAAAAACTTTCAATTGGCATTGGCATATTGCAAAAATGGTTAGTTAACCGAAAACTGTTGTTTTTAATCAATAATTGAATTTTACTTATATTGATTAATATATCTGATAAGCAAAAAAAAAACATTAAATAAGTTTTTAATTGAGTTCAAAGTGGGTCATATTATGAGGTATTTAGAATACACTGCGAAACAATGCGAAAAGCTACAAGTATATCAATGTGCATATATAGATATAGATCTATAGATACAGCCAATCTATAGATAAATATTTTCTGTACTTTTCCACTTTATTAGGCAGTCAGAAATGATAATAGAAAGAGAAGAGAGGGAGGCTCTTGAGCGAGATAAGAGCAGTTTTAGGCTGATTATGATGATTATAGATAAATGCCAGATAGAGCCAGAGGTCAAAGCGCACTGGGGAATTTCTAGCAAATGCAACAAAGGGTAAATTCCACTTTCAATATATATGTATGTAAATATATCTAATATATAGAAATCTATATATGCAGCAAAATAGCTCATATTAATCTATGCCTTAGTTAAGCGCTAGTGACTTTTAAAGTCGACTTAAATTCCAAATCCAATTGAAATTTTTGACGTAGCCGTACAAATCGTTGACTCAATTGAAGCTGCCCCCATCGCCGCCTTTCAACGTCCCCCCGCCGACGTGAGGCTCGCTGGCGTTCGGTGGCTCGAGTCGTGCGCCCCCAATGATTTGTATAAAAGCCCAAGCCACAGGGCAGTCAATCATTAGTTTTCACTCTGGTGCCCAACACAGCTAAAGCACAATCCAAAAGCCGCAAACGCAATCGAAAACCAACAAATCCTGCAAACATGAAGAACGCCGTTGCCATTCTACTGTGCGCCTTGATTGGCCTGGTAAGTGTGCCACGCCCACGGGCCTTAATATGTTCCTCTAGCTAAATCGAGATTCGTATCCAGGCCTCCGCTGCCGAATACAAGCTGCGCACTGCCGAGGATCTGCAGAAGGTGCGCAAGGAGTGCGCCGAGGCCAACAAGGTGACCGATGTCCTTGTTGCCAAATACAAGATCTTCGAGTATCCCGACGATGAGGTGACACGCAATTACATCAAGTGCATTTTCAACAAATTCGACCTGTTCGACGACACCAAGGGCTTCAAGGTCGACAATCTGGTTGCCCAGCTGGGCCAGGGCCGTGAGGACAAGACTCTGCTGAAGGCCGATGTGGAGAAGTGCGCCGACAAGAACGAGCAGAAGTCGCCGGCCAGCGCTTGGGCCTATCGCGGCTTCAAGTGCTTCCTCAGCAAGAACATGCCCTTGGTGCAGGCTGCCATCCAGAAGAAGAACTAAGCGTTCCCAAACACTGCGCGCCGCTCCACGCGGCGCCTCCCGTCAAGCAATCGCCGCCAGCAATTCGAATGTTGCGCGCGCTCAACACAAACTTTTTGTGCTACTTGCTGCATTTTCTTTAAAATTTAAATAAAAATCGTATAATAGCGAACTTTAAAGCCAACATTTATTTTATTTTGAACACATACGTGCTTTATATATATATTATATAATTATGCAAACCATAATAATAATTCCGGGGCTATGAAAAGTTCGTCCGATTTGTGGCCAGCCAGAGCTCTGCTTCTTCCTCCCAAAACCTTGTCCCACCCAAAGGAAAGGCATAGAAAAGTTGTTTAATTCGTTTATATTTCTTCATCTTTTTCGGTTCTTATCAAATTTTTCTTGTATACTATTATGTATCTTTATTTAGATTTATTTTTTCGGAAACATAAGCAAGATTTATAAATTATCTTGTTTTTTTTTTTTTGCATGTTATTTATTTATTTTTTTTTTTTTGTGGTGTTTTCATCTTTTCCTTGTCTGCACTTTTTTCATAATCTTTTTTCTTTATATTTTTTTAAATCCTCTTATTTTTTTGTTTTCGCCTTCTTTAGAACGTCTTTTGTTTTTATTTTTTATTCTGCTTTTCTGTCTTCTTTTTTTACATTATTATTTTTTCTCTCCTCTTTTTTTTGTTTTGTAGTTTATATATATATAAATATATATATTTATATATATATATAGTTTTTATGAAAAATTAAAAAGTGTGATAAGGGGTGTTTGTGGTGTTTGGGTGCTTCAAAAAACATTATAGCCAAGTTACGATTTTATATATATATATATATATATAATTTTTCTTTTTTCCTTGTTGATTTTCTTTTATTGGTTTTCTTCTTAATTTTTTTGCGCCTCTGCTGTTGATTTTTTTTATTATTATTATTTCTATGCATAATATTTTTTGTTGGCGTTCTCTTGTATTCTTTTTCTTTATTTTTTTTTTTATTAGCAAAGAAGTTTTTGGCAATAAAATGTTTTTTGAAATTATATATTAAAAAAATCTGAAATCAAATATTGATTGGATTAAAGAAATGTGTTAAAAATAAAACTAATTAGTTGTTATTTAGGTGATCCCATATTTTTGTATGTAGAAAAGACAGACGAGTCAGGCACAATGCCAAATGACAAAGAACGGATAATTGTTATTAACAAAACACACTTAAAATGTACAAGTATTAGTGCACTTGCTTATAAAAAGCTATATATATACATAGCTGTCTAATGTAGCCCAGAGCTAATGAGCTTCATAGAAAGATTGTTTTGGCTAATTTATCGAAGGCAGGCAATAGTTCTCTATTGCCTTATGGCAGTTGGAAGCGGACTGTTTGATATATACAATTGAAGGCATATATGCTCTATAGTAAATAACAAAAGTGCTCAATTCCGTATTTGATTTGAGCACCTGTTCTAGTTTACAAGGCATACCCAGTCAGACTATAGTTTTTTGATTATCATCAGTCAACTTACCTTACTAAATATAAGTTAAGAAAACAAAAATCAATACGGCGCATAATAATTGGCGCGTCCGCGGTAACCTCTTCTGAAACGAAAAACAGACCGGAATTAGCCAAAACATCTTAATTTAGCACTATGTATATATTTAACTCTTACATTGCGCGTCGAGCGCCACGAAAGGTTGAATGACAGCAGGCGCGGGAGACGCGAGCTCCTCGGCCACGGAAGCTGCCGCGTGCAAAACGATTTGTGGTAGAGAGTCCAGGTCGATTGGTACGTTTCGACATAACCTGCAGGAGTCAAATAAATAAATATTTAATATAAGCACTCATTTTTGAGTATGTTAACAGCACACACCTTTATTTGACGTCCTCGGAAGAGAGTTTCATTCATGGCCAGCGCCGTTTCTACATACTCTTTTGAGCCAAATTCAATGTAGGCAAAACCTTTGGGATGTCCATCAGCCTTATTGCATAGTATAGTAACACGATTTATGGTGCCGCAGCCATGAAAATGTGCCTCCAGCTCCTCGGCCGATGCGCCATAGTCAACATTGCCCACATACACGGACCGTGTGTCAATCTCCTGTTTCTCTTCAAGTGAAAGCGGCACAGTGGCCAAACCGGTTGTTGAACCGCCAGCCATTTGTTTGTCTACCTCTGATTGCATTTGCTTAATTTTTTCAGCCTCCTCCTCCATTTCTTTGACGCGGGCCTTAATAGCCTCAAGTTCTGGGTCGATTTGCATACTGCCCTCCTCCTGTAATATTTCAAGTGAAAATTGGCAATATTATAGTTAACTATTTATTTATTATTTTAAAATAATGCCAAGAATGCGTTCTTTAAGCCGACTCGAAATGTGTTTGGGGAGAAGACGCTTCGAAAATGGCTGCCGCTTTGTTACGCGAGCTTTGCGTGCAGACAAAAGCTTTTTCCGCGAATTTCGGCGTGCTTTTGCATTCAAGGCGAACGAAAAATAACTGGTTTATTGGCGCCTCACGCTTACCTCTGTTTCAGTCACAATCCCAGTCTCCTGTTCGCCGTTTGTCTCTTCCAGCGACTCCAAAAGCTGATCCTCGTTTAAAGTAATATCTTCATCAGCCATTATAATTATTTTGTATTGATTTGTTTTTGGGGGGAGTTTTGAACTTTGGTGTTTTGTTTATATTTACTAAGCTTAACTTTGACGCGTAAAAGCTTACAGCGGCACTGTGGTAGTTATCGATAATTGTTATTCACTGCAAAGAGAACGTAGAGTATAGTAAAAGAGCAGGCGAAAATTCGATTAATTAAGCATGCTCAAAGAGAGGCGTACTTTATAGAAATGAACGTGTCATAAGTTTACAGTTTGGCGCTATTATTATTTTGTATTAAACAATAATACAATGGGCGTTGCACACTAATACGCTTTGTATATGGATATACAGAAACAATTGCATGCACTATATTACTTTTTCTTAGCAGCACTTACGTCAAAATACAAGGTAAGGCGCTGGTGCTGACGTTTCTGCGTTCGCTCAAAATGGCCGCTGCCCAATGATAATCCGCACGCTTCAAACGACGGAAACTATTGTGTCTTAATAATAATTTTGATAATTTGCCTGTTGAGCTGTAATAATTTTATTTCTTTCACACTTTTGGACACTAACAGCAGCAGTTAAATTTACTAATATTTCTGTATTTACAACAATCCGACAAAATTTTCACAGAAACAATTTTGTCAACGCAAAAAAACGCAGCGAAAATATATTCGCCTCACTTTTAGAGAAGGTACTTTGAAATTATCGTCGTGAGTATGACAGTTATCGATAACAGACATACTGCGTTAACTAATAAACCCATATTCAGTTTCTTTAACATGAACGATTCTGACTCGGAATACGAAGAAACCGAATATTTGGTGTATGCTGACTTTAAAAATCATCTTGCGCCGCATCAACTAAAGCACGAGGATGCTGCCATTCGCATAATTGCCATTGAAAGCGACACTCCTATGGCCGAGATCAATGGCAATATATTCAAAGGTAGAGCGTGCAGCATGTGTGTTACAGCACAGAAAGAAGTTCTATAATCAGTTCCATATTTCTAGGCTCCTATGACATGACAATGGGCACTAATGTGTTTTTTGAAAAAGACGCCAACAGCGTATTCGGTGATCCACTTTATGAGCCAGTTTGTCGACAGCAATATAAGTACCTAAATAAATCCGAGAAGGTCATCAGATTCGATCGGGTTTACATTGAAAATTTACCACAAGATATTAAGTCGGAAGAGGAACAGCAAGCGGAACTGAAGCCACATTCTCTAAAGTTAAATATCAACTATAAAGAAGCGATTGACAAATTTGTCGAGGAACAATAACAAATGTATGATTCTATTGGAGATGGGCGCGTGTCCTAGCATCATGCACATGAATATTCTTTTTAATTTGTTTTCTGTTAGAGATGAGCTCGTGTCCGAGATAGATTTTACTTCAAATTGAAGACGAGTCTTGGAAAATTGTTTTTTAAAAGTATTAACTTAAAGTCTGCTCATATTTATTAAATTCATTAATAAGGCATTTACTTACATACATATCGTGCTTAACACGCTTCCATCTCAATTAAAAAACAGCCTATTATAGCTGGACTATCTCTTGCAGTAAAACATGGAAAACGTACTCGAACCACCTCAACCATCTATAAACCTACGCCAATTTCTAGAGGATTATTCGAAAAAGTTAAACAACCCAGATGAGAAAAATGCAGAAAATATTCCCTTCTACTTTGCAGACGTCTCACCTGTCTCAGCAGAAGTGGCGGCGAGCTGCTCCTTGCAGTTGCTTGCTGCACCAGACGACAATCTAATCAACACATTTGAACTGGGTGCTGAAATACAACGTCCCAATGTAACAAAACCACAAATGGGTAAACATGTGCCAAAGACATTTACCGCCATAAATGAGCACAAGGCGAAATCCCGGAGAAATCCATTTAGCCGAACACAATATAGTTATCGCTTGATAGCCGATCCGTCGCCGAATGGCGATTTACCAATGATGTGGACACTTGAAGAATTTGAGCTGGAGCTAACCGTTCGGTTTTACAGACCACCGCGTGCAGCGCATCGTGGCTTTAAGCTGGAACGTCCAGTTTTTGCCGAGGAGTTCGTTTGCTTAGGCAGCAATTTGTTAACCGAGCTACGTGATAAGATCTCCTGCATCTGTAATGGCAAACGTTTTGTCGATATTAGTGAACAGCCTGAAGCGCCGCTGCCTGTGCTCGAGACAGATCCGGGTTACTTCTTCATCAACGGCGTCTTCTACAATGATACACGCAATCCCAATAACTGTGACTACTCTGAAACTGTGCTCAAGTGGGCAAGCCAAGCGCAGGGCGTAGAGAATGAAGATTTTCGGGTGGCTTCAATGGAGGCGACACGCTTCATCGATCTGACTATAAGCCTAGGTGCACCTGTACAGTATCTACATCATGGCAATTGCGAGCATTTGTTTGTGTTCTCTCAGGTGGAGGTGTTAAGGCCACGTAGCAAATACATTTATCGCAGTCTTTATCCCTTTCTGCGCACCTTCAATACTTTCAATAGACGCGCCTGCTATATGTGCGGCCTTCGTGGCTATCATTTCATCGTGGAGCAATCCCGCAGGCAACTGCACGATCCATCATATCTCTGTCGTAGTTGTTTCTTCAGCTTCAACTATGTGGATGGCAAGAAGGTGGGAGACTTTAAAGCTTATCGCATATACACTCTTGCTGATCTACCGGACGAGGAAGCCGAATGCCAGCCACCTGAGGTTCTGGACATAAACAGCAGCAGTAGTGATGAAGGTAGCGTGGACTTAGATGAACTAACTTAATTATAGATGTATATTTATATATATTTAATTTTAATATTAATTTTATTTTGATAAAATATATGCAAACATAAATTATAGATACTGTTTTTTTGTGTTGTGTTAAATAAATGTCAATACACGTTGTAACAATAGTTAAACATATGGCGCACAGTTCAAGTAATCTATATGTATATATATATAGCATATATATATATATCTAGTATAATAGCAAAAGTTAGTTTTGACATTAGGAATCAAATGCATATATAGTATAACACAAATATTTTGAGCTTATGTATAACTTTAATTTATACAAATACTTTTCTTTAAAGAGCACACACATACATATATTGTATATATATATATATAGTATAAATTAGTATCAATATCAATTAGGCGTACAGACTTTGACCAAGACCAATGGAAAACGAGTTAATAGACTAATTTTGGCCAATAACATATGTGTATTCTATATATATATATGTATATACGAGTGTGTATATAAGAATACAAATATACTTAATACAGTTATAGATTAAAAACATGCATATACACATATATATATGCACAGTATTACGGTATATGTATATATATACCTATATATGTATATACTATTTAGTGTCGATTTCTCGTTTGTGCGTGTTTTAATTGCTTGTTTACAAATGCAAATGAAACACTAGTCGCTCTTTTGTTTTAACTATGGCCTGTATATGAGTGTTTGTTTGTTTTGTGTTCGATCTTAAGTTTCAAGATCACGATCAAGCAATTCCAATTCCAACTATATATCTATAATTTGTGGCAGTGCCGTTTAATTGTGTCGCTGCCTCTTAACCTTCTTTGGTTTCTTACACTGGATTTAAAGCTAATACCAGGGCCACAGATCGCCTAGCTTTGAAATACCAATTCACGCTCAACGGACAGATATTCGAGCATTTGTGACGGCACTGGCAGCTGGGCTAGCTCACCAACTGGCATCTGGCTCTGCAGGACACGTCGACACAGATCCTGCAGCTTGGGCATGTTCAAGTAGCGACTCAATGGATACTTGAGTATCACTGGAAATGGCGGCTGCATTTCGTTCGGCACCTTAACGAAGCATACGAAATTGTCATTGGTGCAGCGATGCAAAATGTCCTCAATCATCTCGACAATCGATTCATATTTCAATTCCTCAAAATGCCAAAACTGATCTCGATATTCCAGACGATAATGCAACGTCACATTCAAAATGCGAAAGCTGAGCGTAAAATGAGAGCCTGTCGACTCGGAATCCCGCACCAGAAACGAACCGGTGGGCTTATCGCTCAGCTGACGTTGAGAGTCCCGTCGCGATATTTCGCCCCAATACCAAACTTGACTGCAAGCAAAAGAAAAAAGAAAGGTAAAAAGGTAATTCGTCATCACTAAGATCATGATTCATAACAACAGGTTTTCACATACTTGAGCATTTCGGAGCATGCCTTGTACATGACCTCATTTGGCGCGTCCTGTTGCTCCAGCCACTTTTTTTTGATGAAACGCATATAGTCATGGGTGAAGGGTAATGTGGGCTCCACACGTATGGGTGGCGCCAGAAATTCGTACATTGCATCGGTTGTGCCGCCATCACAATCACAATCATCGCCCATGGAGTGCCAGTTGCGCAGTGCACTCAGTCCTAATCCCATTTTCTTCCGAATGCGCGAGAACATGTTCTTCTTATCCTTACGCTTGCGCAAAGCGCCACCCAGGCTGCTGCTATTGCTATCGGATGCAGCGGCACTTGAACAACTGGCCTCCATGGCGGCGCCAAGTGGTTCATTGTTGTTGTTTTGCAACTGCGCTGATTGGGAACCGCCGGCGGTGGCCGCAGCAGCTGTTGAACTCGAGCTGGCCAACGCTGAATCTGACTTTTTGCGTCTGGTCAAGGAATAGAACCAGTTGCGCTTCTCCTTTGTAACAGACGTTGTACCAGCGGCTACAGAACATTTTGAAAGAGAATACAGGTAAAGGTCATATGATATTTGCAAAATAAGTCCATTTGTTGTAGCACTGTCCATTGCTTAGCTGGGATTGGGCTAGCTAGTCAAGAGACGCATTGGAAATTAATATACATACCTTGTTCTTCGCTACCGACATCTAGTATCTCTTGGCTAGCTGCATGTCTGGAGCGATGCTGGGCTGTAGAAGCATTTGCCGTATTCGCTGATCCACTCCCACTCGCATTGCCCTCAGCAGCACTTTGGCCTTGGTTTTGGCTTCGTGCATTTGAGTTATTCTCACCGTTACTCATATTGATCAGTTTCCCGAAAGAGTTTTATTTGGTTGTTATATCCGTTGCATTATCACATAATTAGCCATACTAGGAATTCTGATGACTAAACTTAAATTTACAGTGATAAGGAAACTATTTGTTTTCGTTTTCGTTGGAGTAGTATACAAGAAGTAGTAGTGCTCTCTGTGAGGGATGTTCAATTTATCGATACCTTGTGTGAGTACAAATGCAACAAATGTATTTATTTGGCGGTTCAATACCCTGTAGCAGCTATTGTATACACGCATTTAAATTTTAAATATATATTTATCAATTTTAATGTGTATAAATATAATATTTTATATTTCCTTCCTTATCAGTTGAAAAACTTTAAAAACTTATATAACTTAGACGATAATTATTCTACATCTTGTTTAGCATTTATATTTAATAATATACCCCTTTTGTGTGGTTAAAAATTTAAGAATATTAAGAACGCTGTTACTCGATAGTTTTCTGCTTATCGATAAGCCGCCGATAGCACTATGTAGCAACACGCGACCATGTAATATGTATGGGCAAGAAGACAATTTAAACATAATGCAGTACTTGTCCATAAAATTGGATTTATCCAACTTCTTCAGTGATGAACGTCGCTGTTCAGTGGTCTTAGTCGATGAAACATGGGAAAATGTCAAAGATCTGCAAGATCACATACAAAAGTTGTTCAATTTGGCAAGTTCTTATTTATATTATAATTGAATTTTATAATTGTTAAAATCAATTTCTTATTTGAATGTAGAAAGAGATAAGTTTGTTGACCAGCGATGGTTGTTATGTACCTCCAAAGGAATCGATCAGAGTAATCAAATCTCGGCAATCGCTTAAAGCTTTTCTGCTGGATCCAACCGGCAGTAGTTCAAAGGAGGATCTTTCACATGTGGCTGAAACAAATAAAAAGCGCAAAAATCGTTCGGCTGAAACGGAAAAAGAGTTTACAAGCTCCACGCCCAATCTACCCAAGCGTTCCAAATGCAAAAACATAACAAGAAATGAGGCCACCTATGTGGACGCCCCTTCAATCAAAAGCGCTACAAATGGGCTAGATAACAAAGATCAAACAAACCTTTTAACTGAATCTTTGATTCAAGATGATCCAAAGCCTTCAGATATTAGCTGTGTAGAAACTACTAAATCAGCTACAATCACCACTGAGTCTAGCACATTAAATCAATCAAATCGAACTACTAGAAATCTAAGCAGCTTTAACAAGCAAAGCGTTTCAAATAACCACATCCTATATAAGGATGATGAAGAGGAGGAAAATGTGCCAACAAATGGCACACCTGTGGAGCAGAGTTTGCAATCCGAGATAGTTGCACCTGAAGTTGAATTTCGCAGTCATCTGATGGAGTTAGATCCGAACTCTGTGCGCATCTTTAAGCTACCACGTAAACAAGAAACCATAAAAATTATAGAGGAAATTGTGATTCCAGCCAAGGCGCCTGCACCCGAACAGAAAGAGGAACAAACGCATTTGGAAGAGTCAGTGGAGGCAGCGACTACACCGAATAAAGCGGATTTTGAAGATAAGACAACGACGCCTTTAACTTCGACTAAACTGGACTTAGAGCTTTCACTGAAGGAGCAAGAATCTAAGGATAAATCACAGATCGAGGAACCAATGCAGAGTTTACTGGATTCCGACTCGGACATTATGGTGTTGGATGATACAAATTTGGATGACTCAGACTCAGATGTGGAAGCAGTACCAGTGAAGGATGAGTCATTGGATATCATTCGAGACATGCTACAAAATGCAGCGCCTTTAGAGAGTTTACCCAATGTGGGTGAAACGATAATCTTTAAGTTGGCTAAGAAAAAAGGAGCACAGCAACCAACAACGGTTACCGATAACATAGCGGGCACCTGCTCCTACGTCAATCGTCGTACGACATCAATCACAATTTCTGTAATCGGTAAATACAATATAAAGACAAGAAAAACTATCTGAAATTAAAAATCAAATAACTTTTTAGCATGTGCCGATGTGTCCTCTGACGTACTGAACCAGTATTCCAGCCGTTTGGATGATACTTCAAACTCGATGCCCCCCACTTTAAATGTTAAATTTAGAGACTTGCTAGAGGCCAAAGTAATTGTGGCCTCTGTGGATTAAGCAGTCATTTTCCGTTCCTTACAATTGTTTGTATTTATATTTTTCAAAATTTTTTTATGTAAACGATCATCAAATAATATAAATGTGGGTATGTGAGGAGTTAAAATTCACTGATTTCGCGAATGTTTTGTTGTCTCAGACTGTACGCTTTTTAATTTCCTCCAGTAGCTCATCAGCCTCCTCTGCGGTTTTGACCCGCAGCAGCATGGACATGGGCTTGGACTCCTCGGGCGTTGGCAAGCATACCATCATGATATTGTTTTTGCCCATTCGCTGACAGGGCAGACCGTTTGTCAATAGCAGATTGACCAGTATGTTACCCAGGTTGGTGTCGGCGCGTACCAGCATTTGCGTCTTTTCAGAATCCTTGACAGGCTTCAAGTATAACGTGCCCACGCCACGTTCAACAAAATCGCTATCCTTTTTCACAAACACTTTGCAGCGTTTCGAGTAAACGGCATCATCCTCAACTACCTGAAAGGGTATAAAATGGAATTAGTATTATATGAACTATTCAGGTAGTAGTTTCTGCTTACTACCTTGTTGAACTCTACTATTGGCGGCTTATCTTCATCCTCGTTACTGTTGTCCTTCGAATCATCTGAATTCGGCTTGACATGGGGAAAGTTAAAAGGAGCTACACTGCTTGAAAAAAAACCACTGGGTGCTGGCATTTTTGTATCGTTGGCTGGTTTGCTAAAGGACGTGAATACAGATGTCGTTGGCTTATCATCCTTTACGCTAAAAGTAAATCCATTAGACTTTGGCGGTGAGTTAACTGTACCAGAAGCAACAGCGGGTGAATCTGCGTCCCCAAAGAAAAAACCTGTCTTTGGCGCATCGTCTTTATTAGCGACTGGCGGTTTGATACCAAAACTAAAAATGTTTGCTGGCGAAGTTGTGCTTGATGTTGCCTCCGACTTGGTTGGTGTGGTGCTTGGCTTAGGAACATTGCCAAACGAAAAAAATGGGGCTGTTATAGTGGTGGTGGGGCCGCCACTAGTTACAGTACAACTAGATGTTTTGCCAAATTGCAAGGACGATGAAGGTAAATCGGTGGCTGTTGTTGTGGTGGGATTAACAAAGCAGAAGCCACTTGCAGTTGGAGCAGGTGACGTTGCAGTTTCAGCTGCAGCTGTTATTGTTGTTGCAGTTGGCGGTGTTAGTGTTGCTGTTGTGGCTGTTATCTCTGTTGCCTTTGATGGAGTCTTTGCTGAATTTCCTTTAGCTTCATCGTTCTGTCGCAGCTCCTTCGCATACTTATCGTAACTTTCGAATACTGGACTCAATATACAATACGGATTTTTGTCCATATGCTCTTGAAGAAATTTCATTACAGCCATATTCAATTCAGCGACATTATCACGATATTCCTTTGAGGCGTTAATTGCGTTGCCCGCCACTGTCTTCTCAGCTGATTTGAACATGGACCCAGGCGCCTTAAGTAGTTCGTTAGTTACTGCGTTTCCAAAAATAGAAGTTCCTGCACTAGGTCGAACAGTTGATGTTGCGCTGTTGGTGGTACTTGCAAAATCGCTCTTCAAATTTACCTCTCCCGATAATAATGGTTTAGCTGGTGGAGTTGATGTTGCATCAGTCTTAGCTTGACTACCACTTATCTTGGGAGAAGTATCAGCAGTTATCGTCGTTCCAGATGTAGATACTGCCGGAGATGCAACCGGCAAATTAGACAGGAATGCAAATGGTGTGCCAGGGGCTGACGCTGTTGTTGGTTTCGCAAAACCTGAGATTACACATAAATATGCATATATTATAAATGAAACAAATACATTGAATATTGCTAGACCACACCTGAAAAGCCGCTGAATACAGTTTTACTCGGACTTTCGTCGTCGCCTTCTGACGTGCCGGTTAGAGGCTTGCGCCTTGTCGCCTTTTTGATAACGCGTGCTTTTAGTTCTTCGGGCGGCGCGGTTCGGAATGTGCCGCGCTCCTCTGGCTCTTCTTCTTGATCCCAGTTTTCATGGTTCAGATTTGATGTCGCTTGCCGTTTACCAGCCATTTGTTATTAATGTAATTACAAAAATAAAAATAAATTATGTATGTTTCACGAGCAAAAAGGAAATATATATTGTACTGCTTGTTAGCTCGGTAACAAATGAACAGAATCGAGTTCACGGAACTAAACAGTTCCACTAAACTTGCTTGTTGCAGTTCTTTTGGTTCACTGAAGAGCTACCACACATAATGTTCAAAGTTAAATATTTTATATATTACGTGATCAATATACAAAATATTTTAAATGTTTTGTAATTCTGAATATTTTTGTAATTATTTTTTTGTCAAAATCAGGTTCGAGGACATGTAAGAATCAACTTAGTTAAATTTAATTGTTATAAGTGGTATCATATGTGTGGCCAGCCCTGAAACTCATTGCCATCGTGCTGGCTGTACGAGTTTTGTGGCTTGGTCATTTTTAGTACTTTTTATATCATAAAGTATAGACAACATTGTTACATTGTACGCGACAACGACGACGCCAGCAGAGCAGCAAAAATTGCAATATTAATAATATTTAATCCTAACTCCGGTCCGGGCTAGTCGTAAATAAATAAATACAACAAAAAATCGCCATTAATTATGGTCAATTGCTAGGCAATGAATGTTGAGTGATAGCAATGTGACAAAAACAGTTGCAGTTGGGTGTAAATATGCGCGGCGCATTTCTCTACTACTGTAACATTAATTGCGCTTCGACTGCGACTGCGACTCGAATTTTGCTGCAAGATGAGGCGATCAGGTGGCGCGCCTAAAAAGTGTACGACAAACAACAAAAAAAGGTTTGTGCGTAAAATAAATGTACAACGGCAGCGTGTGTAAAAGTGTTTAACATCTAAAAAGGAATAACGTGAAAATCGCTGCATAAAGGAAGAGAGAAATACTTTAGTGCTCCTATACAGACTAACGTGCCAACACCAATACCGCTGTACAAACGCACACTCTCACGCACTCACACACACGCACGCATACAAACGGAACGTATACTCTAAACACGAAGAGAGAGCAAAACGTAAACGTTGTCGCTGTTATCCTGCTTATTCCTGTTGCCTCAGTCGTGTGATCCTTTATTGTTGCCCGCAGCGGCAGCAGCTGTGCCGTCGTGTCCGGGTCGTGTTTCAGCTTTGCCTTGCAGTCTTCGTTACTCGTTTATTTGTTGCTATTGTTGTTGTTGTTGCCTGGGTGTCCTTGAAGTTCGCTAGTGCGCGCCCGTTGTGCTGTTTTCAGTGTGTGCAAAGTTACAACAACAAAAAAGAAAAAAAGAAGATACAAAAAGTGTGCCCAGCAGCAAGTGAAGCAACAACAATATAAAAATGCCGCCAGCTTTAATTGGCATCGCCGAGTTCGTGGAGGAGACGCGCGACGATTATAATTCGCCCACCACCTCCACGTTTGCCTCCCGCATGCCGGACTGCCGTCAAACGATTAGCATATTGGAAGAGGTAAGCATTTATTCACTCGCTCACTCTCTGTCTCTCCTCTCTCTCTCTCTCTCTCGCTCACTTAAGTTCAAGGTAGCTAATCAGTGATCCAGCGTTATAAAATGCATGCACACTCACACGTACTGTGCTTATTCTTTTTTTATATATACTCTATAGTCTCTCCCCCATAAAAACGATTTTGTTTATTATGTATTTTCCCAATGCGACCTAGGGAAAGCAAAAAAGGTATTGCATTAAATTGGCGCTGTGCCAAACGTATCCCACTCTCCACCCTCTCTCTTTCTGCCTCGCTCTGTCTCTATAGTTGGCTTCACTTCAGGCACAGGCATACAATTTGCATTTGTTCTATGATGACGTCGAAGGCAAGTGCAGGTGGTTTCTTCTTTTCTTTTCCATTATAAGTCATAAATAATGAAAGTGCATATTCTGAAATCAATGCAGCTGGTCGCTTTCCCCAAGTCCCCCAATTTGTCCATTTCAACGTTGCCACTCGAGAACGCAATGTTTTATTTTTAGTCATTGCAGCTGCTGTTACTCCCCATAAAAACACACACACACACAAGCACAAACGCTCACATACACATTGCTATGTATGATAAGGGCAAGTGCGGGCGGAAAGGCATTTGATAAAGCAGACGCTGGCATATGTGTGTCGCATATTTAGCTTTAAGCTCTGGTTGCATTCCCCCGATCGCAGCTTATCAATCATGTAACCACAATATAGGCGCGGTCGTATTTGATTACGCATGAAATTTGTTCGAACGTTCAAATTGGCCTGCCAGCATATCGACTATGGGCTAGCTCTTTGGCTAAAGCTGTTCCCTAAAATATTTCTCTGTGACTACTTGCGGCGCTCCAATTCTTTTTGCTAAAATTAGCTAGCAGACGCACCGTGGTCTAAATATAGGTATATAAGTAGCATTAGACATGTACCAAAATATAAAACTTTGAAAGAAATGTTTTATATTTAATAGAATATAGCATGTTTAAGATATGTATAGGAATAATACGAAAGATGGGTGCATTATTTAATTTAGTATTAAACACTTGAAATCCGCTTTCAATTAATGTGCTTTGAAGCTTAAACTTCAATTTAGGAAAAGCTTCTTTAATCTTTAAGTGATGTTTGGAAATATAAATCTAACAAAGGAGCCAGTTTTAAATTAGTATAAATATAAATGAAATATATAACAAATATAAATAATAATTAAATATAAAAAAAATTTATATAAAAAAAAAAATATATATATATATATATAAAACAGTAATAAATCAAATGTTTTTATATAAATTATTATTACTCATATTTGAATTGGTATTAGAAGAAATTAATTGAAAGCCCTTAAAATTCTAGTTGATTTTTTATATTTGCACAATTAAAAGAAATTCTATAATTTGTTTAGCAATAAATCTAAAGCATTCTTTAGGCTGATTAGTTTAAAATTATTTCTTTACAAATAATATAATATAAATGAGCTAAACTATAAACATAAATTATATATATATAATTTAAATTTTAAATTTGATTAATAATTAAAATTATAGATGTCTTTGGAGCTTTTTCACCACTGTGCAACAAATTAGCTTAAGCATTATTTTCTTCGTTAGTTTAGTTTTTCAGATTTTGACGCTTGACAGCAAATCAAATGTTTAATATTTAATTTCAGTGATGGCTCTGCCACTGCGCGACCCAAAAATCTAACAAATCAATAAACGAGCCCGTAAGACACACCTTTCATATCATTTCCTTTTATTTCCTTTCATTTCGTTTATGTCTTTGTTTTGGCTCGGCCCCAAATGGCATCGTTATTCAATCAAGAGCGAACGCCATATATGCGCATAGATATACACAGATGATTGGCCTATATATATAAATATATACAAAAAAATATAAACTACTTATAAAATTCTTCAATAAGCGTATTATTTACAGTCTAGCTTATTCACAATATGTATTTTTTATAATAAATATAAATATAATGCGGTTTTCTGTTTAAAAAAAAAAAAAAAGTAACCTGAGCAGACATTTAACCGTTTTTTTATTTCCCCTGAACTTCGGCGCTTTTGTTATCAAGCCGCACAGCGGAATAGCAGAAGTGAAAAACATAAGAATAATAAAAAAAACTCACTTGGTTGCTAGAAAGAGAAACGGAAACCAGTTGTCGAGGTTGACCAACTTAAGAATTTTTCGTTATTGTTCTAAGCGATTTGCGTTCCAAATATTTGCCATCAACTTTGTTTATATGAACATGACTAATCTTTATTAGCACGCTTTAAACATCTTTTCGCAGCTCGCTTATCGCAGCCCACTCACCTTTTTTTGTTTTGCTGTACTTATGCCCGTTCGCTTTGTGCAAAGGAGTATATTGGTCGGACTATTGTGCAACTCGAGACTGACTGACTGTGTAGAGTAGCTTAAGATCTGATATATAAATTGTCATCTAGAATTGTATACTCGTTAGCTATATGAAAAGGAGTATATTGGAAGTGCAATTTGCAACTGTCTGAACGTTTGTTTGAATGCCAAGCATTTTAAGTTAGAGACTAGATATATTATGTATGTATATTGGTTGCAGTTGCCTATGCTCATTAGGCGCGTAACTAATTGGTGAAAATCTATTATAGATCTTTTACTGCTGTCGAACTGGAATGACCCGGTTTTGTGGGTGGGCATTGTCTATGCATATTTATAGGTGTATATATATATGCTATATATACACACATCGGGGCATAGCATGTCGGAAAACACTATATCACATTTAGAGATAAACAGGCATTTGTAGAGCTCCATTAAACATGAGCTCGCAAAATAGAAAAGAAAAATTGATTTTTTAATGAGTATTATGCAGCCAGTTACGCCCGCTTAGTTGTTTTTCTTATTGCAAAAATACCTCAACACAATTGTGCTTTTCCCGTTTCTAAGTTTCGCTAAATTACGTATATAAAAAAAAAAAATCATATATACTATCTGAAGCATTTATCTAATCACAGTAAAAGTTATTAAATTTATAATTTTACTTTTGCTTCCTCAATAGTTGACTAACTTTTAATTGAAAACGGGTTTTTTGTGAGTTGAAAAGTTTTTCGAATTATGTAGAAGAAAACTTTGATTGCACGCGTCACTAATTCAATGAAATTAATTAAAATTAATTGAAAGAGTCAAGAGGTTAAACAAGTCGAGTGTTACGAAAAGACTGAAAAAATGCACCGTATCAATTAAGAGGCAAATTTTTGGATAAATATGTTATGCATCTTACAAATGAAACTAGATAAGATATTAATTTATACATTTCTCTCCCACTGGCTCTATTTCTCTCTTTCTCTCTGTCTCTCTCACTCACACTCTCTTCTCTCTCTCTCTACAGCGCTTGGAGTTTGATCGCGAGGGTCTAACAAAGCTGAAGAAGGCCGTCAAAGCCATACACAACTCTGGCAATAGTAAGTGACATAAATTATTCAGATTTTTTAATTCTATAGATATTAATTGACATCATTTTGTATGCGCTTAGCTCATGTGGACAATGAAATGTTTATGGTGCGTGCGCTGGAGCGTTTGGGCGGCAAGGTCATTGATCAGGATGAGCCCGATATTGGGGCGGCGTTTCTCAAGTTCTCAGTGGTCACCAAAGAGCTCAGTGCGCTAATGAAAACACTGGTAAGTGGCAGAGGAATTCAGATAGTATAACTTTTAGATAAGCCAAATATTTGTTTATAGCTTTGAAATTTAACCTCATTGCAAAGTTTACAATGACATAAAATAGCTGATAAAGCTTACTGAATGAGCATATTGTATTAAGGCTGTACACATAAATGATTGATTAAGCATAAAATAAATTGAGCTGATATCTATTAATTTAAAGTCCTTGTCAAAGTGAATGTCAACTAAACTATTAGCTAGCTTACTTAACTTTCAATGTTTCTATTGACAATTGCGAAAGATAGGAATAAACAGATTCGACTTCAATATTTATACTCATTGCAAAGCTCAAGTCAAATAGGCTGAAAACATCCTTATTTAAATCAGTTGAATGTAGAAAGACTAAATGCTAAAATGTAGAATTAGAAAACAAAAATTTTAAACCTTAAGTAGACTTAAAGTTACTTTTGGATTAACCTTGATTCTTATCTTGCATGACAGATGCAAAATATCAACAACATTGTCATGTTTCCGGTGGATTCGATGCTGAAGAGCGAGCTGCGCGGCGTTAAGGGCGATATGAAGCGGCCATTTGATAAGGCGGCCAAAGACTATGAGGCCAAGTTTATCAAAATCGAGAAAGAGAAAAAGGCCCAGGCCAAGGAGGCGGGCATGGTGCGTACGGAGATCGATGCCGCTGTTGTGGCCGATGAAATGGAAAAGGAGCGCAGACTCTACCAGCTGCAGACCTGCGAGTATCTGCTCAAATACAAAGAGATCAAAACAAAAACTGGCATTGAGCTGCTGCAGCACTTCATCGAGTATTATCACGCGCTGAATAAGTAAGTTTCGCTGTTCGCCAGCTGAGCTGCATGCCAAGTGGCCCATTTGCTTTTGTTATTTGTTTACTGTACCCATTGTGTACGCCTTTATATAATCCGAATTATTGACATTGCAGTTACTTCAAAGATGGCTTGCAAACAATCGAACACTTTGGCACGTACATCGGCGATTTGAGCGACAAGCTGCATGTGATCAAGCAGAAGCAGGACGAGGACAGGCGCAGCCTTTTGGATCTGCGAACGTTGTTGCGCAGCACGCCGGACTTTGAGCGTGTCGATAATGTGCAAGCATCGGAGAATCGCAGTGGTGGTGCGGGTGCCGGTTACTCGCTCCATCAGCTCCAGGGCGACAAACATCATGGTGTAACACGACAGGGGCATCTACTGAAGAAGAGCGAAGGCAAGGTGCGGCGGGTGTGGCAGAAGCGACGCTGTCGGGTCACCAGTGATGGGTTTCTCGACATATTCCATGCAGACGAATCGAAGCCACCGACGCGTGTTAATCTGCTCACCTGCCAGATAAAACCGGTGCCAGATGATAAGCGCGGCTTCGACCTAATCAGCTGTAAGAGCCTCTAAAATTCTACATGCAAACACATTTTTAAATGTTTACCTGATCTCCCTTAGACAATCGTCCATATCATTTTCAAGCGGAGGACGAATCGGATCAGAAGGCCTGGATGGCAGTGTTGGTGAATTGCAAGGAGAAGGCACTGACCAAGGCCTTCCAGCATGCCAATCCGCAGATGAGTCCCAGCTTGGTTGAACTGCAAAAGACAGTGATTCGTTATGTGCAGCTGTTGCCGGGCAACGATCGTTGCTGCGATTGTGGATCTCGCAACGATGTGACCTGGATTAGTCTAAACTTTGGCATACTCGTCTGCATACAGTGCTCGGGTGTGCATCGAGATCTGGGCGTTCATCATTCACGCATCCAAAGTCTTACGCTCGACAATCTAACAACGGCAAATCTGTTGATAGCACGCGCCATGGGCAATAGCACATTGAATGACATTATGGAGGCCAAGCTGGGCAGGGGCAAGCTTAACCACGAGAGCAGCATGTAAGCTAAGCAGTTTCAGTTCTTTAGATATCTTTATTAAATCGGGTTGTCCATTTGCAGGGAGGAGCGATACGACTTTATACGCGCCAAATATGTTGCGAAGCGCTATGTAATGCGCACCTGCGCCGATGACAACGATTTGCGCTGCGACCTGGAGCAGGCGATAGTCAATGCGGACATGAGCCAACTGCTGCAGGTGTGGGCTGAGGGCGCCGATCTCACCTGCTGTTTACCCAGCTCCGATTCGGGCGAAACAGCTCTCCATTTAGCTGTGCTCCGCGAGGGTGGTTCTACGCTTCATATTGTTGATTTTCTTATACAGAATATGCCGCCCAAGGGCCTGAATAAGGCCACCAATCCGGCCGGAGTGCTAGATGTTATGGGCAAGAATACGCCGTTGCATCTTTGTGCTCTTCACGATCGTCGCGAATGCATGAAGCTGCTCTTGCGCTCAGGAGCAGACTATGAGCTGCGCAATTCACAGAACAAAACTGCGCTGGATATTGCCAAAGAGATGGGTCACAATAGCTGCAAGGAGCTGGTAAGCAGACCAGTAACAAAATAATGAACCTTTCATTACAAAAGTTCTGTAATTTTGTAGATTGAATGTGCCATAAAGCGAGAGAAGAGCGCCTTTGATCACATCAACACAGATTGGAATCTGCCCAATGAGGATGGCTCTACAGATTTCAGCGATGATGAAACTGTTATAGATGAGCGCGTAAGCCTATATAAGAACATATATATCAGAACTTACCATAAGTAACAAACTATTTTACCTCTTTCCAGAAGTCCCGTTCACGTCCACCCAGCTTTGCTGGTGGCGATTCGCCTGTGCTGCGTTCCCGATCATCGACTTGCGATTCGATACAGTCCAGTTCTAGTCCAATTGCCAATTGTCCGAGCCGGCAATTTACGTTGCCCAGCTATACGCAATCGGCGGGCACATCGCCCAAGCAGCACACGAATGTTGGCCAGTATTTGGGAAGTGGCAACAATCTGGGCGTGGTCAGCAGTAATAACAATAGCAATAGTGGCAATGGCGGTGGCTCCAGCCCCAGCTCGGCGTGCAGCCAAAACGTACGTGGCACTAGGAACAGCTTAAATATGCAGAGCGAGCTGGGTCACGTGACGGGGGCCAGGAAATCGACGTCCACAGCTAATATGAATTCGCTGAAGAAGCGCACAGCGCCTGCACCGCCGCCGGGTACTCCGGCCAGTATATTCTATGGCACACTGCCGCATCCGCCCAGGCATTCACAGAATATGGATGCCAACGATATTCGCTCTATTAATCACAAGAATCAGTCCATGGATGCGTATGGTACGCTGCCGCACATGAGGAGCGTGGAAAGCTCACCAAGGATAACAGGCAGCATCAGTGGAAGTGGTGGTGGTGCAGTTGGTGGCAATGGCAGCAATAGCAGCTTAATGCCCATGACTACCTTTGGCCATAAGCGTTCTCCCAGTGGAGAGTCATTGAACCGCAATATCCATCTAGCCGGCGCAAAGCTCGTGCTGCCGCCCACTGGAGAGCTGCCCACACTAAAGCATGTCGATAAATCGGCGCTGATGAGACCAAAAATACCACCACCCGGTCCGCCAGCAGGTAAACTAAACGTTGTTGAATCCTTAAACTAATTGAATAATAATTGTTTGGCATTTAATTACTACAGAGCGTGAGATACCAAATGGACAGTCAAATGAGAGCATCAGCTCTATGGATGAGGGTCCGATTGCGCCGCCACGCAAGGTAAGTTGTTTGCATCCTTGTCGTCCGGTTCTCGAAGACAAGGAAGAGGCGCGCGCGTGCTTAGTTTTATCAATGTATCCATGTGTATATCTCCTGTAATTCCAAACAAATTTCAGCGCAAGCAACAAAACTTGTTGAGATTAGAGCATTCCAGCGAGGAAACGGTAAATGCCAGAGACAAATCAATCAATCAATCAATTCAAAACAAACAAAATCAAACAAACCTTTTGCCGTTCTTGTTGTTGTTCTGTTCCTTGTTTATTTATATCTATAAATTATAATATTTATATATACATAATTTTTATTGTTTTTACTAAATGTGCCGTGTGCATCTTCTCTAGAGCTCTTCTAACTCCAATCGCGCATACTCTAAAAACTCAAACTCAAAATCAAAATTCGGAAACTTTTGTCTGTTTATCTTCTGTGTTTTTCTTAATATTTGTTGCACTAACTGAAACATTTATAATATAGCATTATTTATTTTTATAAATATGTATATTAATTGAACTCTTTGTTTCGTAGCTCATCAATCAATCAGCCAATTTTACGGATTATGAGTCCTGGCATACGGATATGGACTCCTCTGGTGGTGGTCTAGATCATTCCGCCGATTCGAATATTTCTTCTAGCGACAATGACAGGCTAAACAGCTCGCCCGATAATCAACTGAAGAACGCAGCTGGCTCCGTCTCAAAATTGCATTATGTAAGATGTTATTGATTTGTATAAGTATTATTTAAATTAATTATATAAACATTGTTATACTTTAGAATGGACAGCGTCGCTGTCGAGCGCTTTACGATTGCGTTGCGGACAACGATGATGAGCTGGAGTTTAAGGAAGGTGAAATATTGATTGTGCTTAATGAGCGCACCGATGATGAGAATTGGATGGAGGGCATCATTGAGGGGCATCCGGCGAGGCGTGGCATGTTTCCCGTTAGTTTTGTACATATGTTGCCCGACTAAAGGGCAGCACAGCTCTTCTGTGCGTCTGTATAACTGTGTGAGAGTATGCTTGTATGAAGGTGTGTGTGCGAGTGTGCATTTGTATGATTGGGTGCATGTATTATACAAAACAAAAACAAGATATTATTTATTACACTTTTTAATCGCAACAACTACAATTATATGTATTATTTTTTTATTGGTTTATTTTGTTGTAAACAGACATTTTGGTGTCTTGTTCTATCAACTTAAACCAAATCATTTATTATTCTCTATGATTATTATTATTATTGTTTTTTGTAAAGAAAACCTATTTAAAGTATACTAAACTTATATGTAAACACTTACTGTGTATATTTAAATCGATATTGCTACCTTTTTTAAAGCATATACTATAAGTAGGCGCCGCTTTGAATTGCTTTTACAACTGAATATGTCCTGCAAATGTGTTATAGGCTATATTTTTTAGCTAAACCTACTCATCATCCTATCCTATGATATACTATTTAATTAAGTCTACTTGATAGCCCATAAAGAAAAACAAAAAACATCACGCTGTCCTCAAAAGTTTATCTCCCAATGCTGTAAAAAAAACTTTTACAATTGTGTGTTTAAGTGGAATATCGAAATTGATGAAATTATGTATTGATATATGCTTAACAATACGCTGCCATATACATATACATATATACAGATAAATATAAATATGTACTAACAATAAAATAGCCGACCTGGTCTGGCTTTATAAATTACATAGAACGCGTACACAAATTATGTAATACTGTTGATGGATTTAAATGAAAGTTTATAAAACAACGTTAATAAGAAAAGGAAGGTTTACTCAGATTAAAGCTTAACTGCAATTGCAAACGTTAAACTAAAGCCTAAATGCTAAAACATATTTAAAGAAATTAATAACACACATAAAGTTCTAAAAAAGATAAGTCAACATTTCAACCCTCTGTACCTAGAAGTTGTTACCAATTAAGCACACATATTATACAAATATATCTAATTCCAAAGCGAGCTGTCGAGGGAGAAAGAAAACATAGAGTTCTAGACTTGTTTGACTTTGTTGTATACCACACACATCATCATTATATATATGTAAACTGTAGATACAATTTTTTTTAATGTACACGCCACCCTTTACATTTTGTATACACGTTTCAGTATTTATTTTAGCAAAAACCTTAATATTACACTATAAAACATATTTGATATATATTTAAGACAAATAAAAGAAGAACTCAACGCTTATTACATATATACATACATACATATAAGGTTGTGTTTTTACCAAAAAAAAAAAATAAATCTGTTTGAATGGAACGGTAAATGGTGGCCGGGTAAACGGGTATGAATGAGCTTACTCGTCATGCAAATCAGGCATGGTCGAACGGTCATACGGCTTGTATTGCATCTTAAAAGTATCGATATTGAAGCTATCGTCGTGTGCGGTATAGATTTGTGGCGGTATGTAGATATATTATCGATTACTGTCACTAATCTCCAATGCATAAATTGAGCTGTGCAGTGCAAATAAAGAATTAACGCGTAAATTGTAATCATTATCTTTGCCCGTTGTACTTTTAGTGCCCGGTCACAATAAGCCACTTGGAATTCAATAAAGAAAGTGCCTTTTACCAAAACCATTAGTATATTGCTAATGGCGACACTGAGAAGTGTGCAAAACTAGCGAAAGGCATTTTTTATCGATATCGTCGGATTTGTTTAGCACTAGCACGGGGTAAATTTATGCCAATACGAGTGCAACTTTTTTTTTTTTTTTTGGCTTGTCCACAGAAATTAATCATTTTGGCCAGTATAATCTTTAGGACGACAGCTAATTGGAGGCGAGTGTCAGGTCAGCAGTAGCCATCAGCAATTGTCATCGCCAACGCCAGCGCCGTGAGCACATCTAGCTCCAGCGTATTGGGCACCGCACACTCATTCCAAGCAATGAGTGCAGCAAAGAAATACAAGCTCATGGATACGACTGAACTGCACGACACCGAGAATATTGCCTCCTGCCTGAAAAAGGGGGACAACGGCAGCAGCAACGCAATTACGACAGCCAGCAACCTTGGCCGGAGTGCCTTCGCCGCCCAAAATATGAATTCAGCAGCGTCCACAAACGGCGAACGGCTGCCAAATTTTTCGAAATTGGGCTCGCATCATGGCAGCGATATACGTTCGGCATCAACTACCTCAAATCTGCTAAATCGCATGGGCGCCATACACAACACCAAGCCGGGTGATGTCAAAAAGATAGTTATTAAGAACTTTAAGGGTAAGCCTTTAGTCAGGGAACAGCGATATGCGATAAACGATTACGATTAACTTACATTAATATATTCTTCATAGCTAAACCCACACTGCCGGATAACTATTCAGAGGACACTTATGTGAAACTAGAGGAGGCCGTTATCGCTATTCAATTATCAAAGCCCATCAAATATTCACTGGAGGAGCTCTACCAGGCCGTTGTAAATATGTGTAGTCATAAAATGGATGCCCAGCTATATGTGAAACTCATGGAGCTAACCGAGCAGCACGTCAAACGAAATATCAAACTTAAAGAGCTCACTGGTGGCAGCATGGACAAACTGGTAAGCGATACAAGCAAAAGCGTTGGCAATTATATTAAATACATACTCTTTTCAGGTTTTGCTTGAGAAGATCAACAATTGGTGGTTATCGTTTTGTCAGCAAATGATCATGATACGTAGCATATTTTTATACATGGATCGGACCTATGTGCTACAAAATTCGTCCATACACTCTATATGGGACATGGGGCTGGACCTCTTTCGCATACACTTTGCCCAGAATAGTGTCGTACAGAAACGCACCGTTGATGGCTTACTGGCGCTGATCGAAAAGGAACGCCAGGGATCAACGGTGGACCGTGGATTGCTCAAAAGTTTAGTGCGTATGCTGTGTGATCTGCAGATATATAGCAGTGCGTTTGAGGAAAAGTTCCTGGATGCGACCAATCAACTGTACAAGGCTGAGAGTCAACGAAAGATGCAGGAATTGGAGGTGCCCGAGTACTTACAGCATGTGAGCAAACGTCTGGCTGAGGAAAATGAGCGTCTGTTGCACTACCTGGACTCCAGCACAAAGTATGCCTTAAAAAACACAATATACATTTATGAATTCAATTCATTAAATTTGCTATCTGCTTGCAGACATCCTTTAATATACAATGTGGAAAAGGAACTGCTTGCTGAACACTTAACAACAATTCTGCAAAAGGGCCTTGACTCCCTGCTAGAGGACAACAGACTGAACGATCTAACCCTTTTGTATGGACTGCTTAGTCGAGTCAAAAACGGCACTTCCGAGTTATGCGGCAATTTTAATGGTTATATCAAGGTATAGCCAATCAGGCATATATATATTTTGTGAATTTATTTATTCCATACTTTCTTATATATTGCAGAAAAAAGGACGCACCATTGTCATTGATCCTGAGAAGGATAAGAGTATGGTGCAGGATCTGCTGGATTTTAAGGATAAAATGGATGTTATTGTGCGCAATTGCTTTGAGCATAATGAGAAATTTACGAATTCGTTGCGTGAGGCCTTCGAATTCTTCATCAATCAGCGCGCCAACAAGCCCGCAGAGCTTATTGGTATATTTTCTTTGTCTCTGTTATATATATAAATAGCCAGTCAATGTCGTAACATGATTTATTTGTCTTTATTTGTAGCGAAATATGTGGATATGAAATTGCGCTCTGGCAACAAGGGCACCACCGATGAGGAGCTGGAAAAGACATTGGACAAGATAATGGTCCTGTTTCGTTTTATACACGGCAAGGACGTCTTTGAAGCATTTTACAAAAAGGTTAAATATATTAAACATATAAGAAATATATGAAGTGAAGTATAAAAATATGATTTTTTCAGGATTTGGCCAAACGCTTGCTTGTGGGCAAATCAGCCTCAGTTGATTCCGAGAAGAGCATGTTGTCGAAATTAAAACAGGAATGCGGCGGCGGATTTACATCGAAGCTGGAGGGCATGTTCAAGGACATGGAATTAAGTCGTGATGTTAATTTGGCTTTTCGTGGTCATACGCTTAGCAATGATCGTGATGTAACCAACCTGGACTTAACTGTCAGCATCCTAACCATGGGCTATTGGCCAACGTATGCGCCTACTGAGGTCACAATGCCCCCACAATTTATCAATCCCCAGCAGATTTTCAACAAGTTCTATCTGGAGAAGCACAGCGGGCGAAAACTCCAATGGCAGCCAACACTGGGCAATTGCGTATTGCGTGCACAATTCGATGCGGTAGATGAAACATTTACATTAACAATATTTTAGATTTGCATAAATGTATATACTTATATTAATCTTGTATTTCAACACAGGGTTCCAAGGAGTTGATGGTTTCGCTGTTTCAAGCGCTGGTTCTACTGTTGTTTAACGATAAACCTGTGCTCAGCTACGAGGAGATCTTGGCTGCTACCAGCATTGAGGATGGTGAACTGCGACGTACTCTGCAATCGCTGGCATGTGGACGCGCGCGTGTCATTACCAAAACGCCGAAAGGCCGCGACATTGAGGATCGAGATCAATTTGATTTTAATAATGAGTTCGTTAACAAATTGTTCCGCATCAAGATTAATCAAATTCAAATGAAAGAAACGGTAAGCAAAATAGTTATATAAGTTTATAGATCAATATAGCACTAACTATAAACTATCTCAGAACGAGGAGCAAAAGGCGACAGAAGAGCGCGTTTTTCAGGATCGTCAGTATCAGATTGATGCGGCTATTGTGCGCATTATGAAAATGCGTAAAACACTGAGTCACAATTTGCTCATCACCGAGTTGTTCAACCAGCTAACATTTCCCGTTAAGGTGCGTATACTATTTAAGCTACCGGAATAGTTAGCTAATTGTAATCATCTTTTTAGCCTGCTGATCTGAAAAAGCGCATTGAGTCGCTGATTGATCGTGATTATATGGAGCGGGACAAGGATAATCAAAATCAATATAACTATGTGGCATAAATGCGCGAAGGATCACTTTTTTGGCCAACTAACACAACTACACACACACATAAACACACACATAAAGATTGTAGCTTTCTCTCTATTTTTTTTATCCAAACCATACTTTCGAATACTAAACGAGTCCAGCGAAAAAAATCATTTGGTATCTGCGTGCGGCGAGCGTATTGAACAAATATCAATTACATATTGTAGTTGTAGTTGTTTACACACGCTGTGCCCACACGAAAGTTTCGTTTGTGGTGGCTAGTGTAGTTGCTGCAATCCGTTTCCCCTTTGTAAGTTACTACTGTATCATCTAATAAATTAGGCGTTTCATTTACAAAAACTAACAGCAAAAATTGTTGCAAACATTTGTCTCTCCTCACTGAGAGTGATATATGTGCACATATATCAAGTTTGTCAAGAGAAACTGCTTACAGCAATATGTTGAAAGAGAGAAATTGAAAGCATTGCAAAACTTCCGATAAAAGAAACGAAAAGAAGAGAAGAGGAAAATTGTATCTTTGTTAATTGGATTTCTTAAATTTGATTATTTTCGATGCTGAAAGTAATTTCCCTTCGAATAACAATAGAAGAAACATTTGCAGGCTAATATTAATAGAATACTTAAATAAATAATGAAACTTGTACACGTAATTCTGCATCTGTATGTAAAACAGATACGCGTAAATTAGATCGTTTTTATTTATGATTTTTTCGATAAATAAACAAAAAAATACTTGTATACTTATATACCTAATGAACTTTTATTGCTGCGCCTTGGACTTTTATGAATGTTTCCTAAAACTTAACTGAAATTGAAATGTCCGGTTCTACGAGGTGCTTTACGGGCAACAATGGATTACGTCATGCAACTATTTAACCTTCGATCAGAAGTCGAGTTTTCAATTAAAAAATATTAATGGGATTCCAATATATAGATTGGAATATGTTTGTTATTAGAGACTCTGAATGATTATCAGATTGGTAAATGATTTCAAGATGCACTTTGGCTCATTCAGGATATAGTTATAGAATTTTTATCGACAGCTTTTTGTGAATATCTCGGGTTTGATATACCTTCCATAAACCAATACGGCGCGACATACAGGTGTTGATTCACATTTAACAATGAAATATTCCAAAAATTATCAGAATTTGATACTCGACTCGAAGCAATTCATAAAACAGTCATGAGTATAAACATTCATATCTTATCTAGTTCATACTCTTTCTTTAGACACTTGTAATTAACTTAAAGATTAGAAAAAAGCAGATACAAAGGAAAATATTTTATTGGTATATTATTATATATTATATTAATATTAATAATGATAATAATTCTCCTTGGAATAACAATATAATAAATACAAATTGCGGACTAATAATATTAAAACGAATACTTAAATAAAAAATAAACTAAAATACACGCAATTTTGGATCTGTTTATAAAAAACGTTATCCTCCTTTATATTGATCAAAATTATTTTATATATATATAATATATGTGTGTGTATAATGCACTGTTTTGTGGTCTTTCACAGCTATCGCTAAAAATACAGAAAAATATTGCAGAGGGGACTTTTAGTTTAGTTATTAAATATATGCCTTTTGATCAATATGCATTACAATACGTAATATTTACAATTTAAAATTAGAAAATACAAATATATTTAATTATACCAGGGTATACAAGGTATATATGTGTATATATTAGTTATATGTGTATGCTTATATACAAAAAAAAATAAAATAATTTTAATAGAAGGGCTCAGCGGGGCACGTGTTTTGAAAACGCGTTTTCAACCGAACTCAGACGCAAATCACGAGGCTAGGCTAATTTCTATCACATTTTCTGATCATTTTCGATTTTTGCAAGCAAAGTCCATATATTTCTGAAAAAGTTATCAACGGCTTATAAAATCCTTATACAAAAATATGTCAACATTTTAATTACTTGTCGAGCGAGTCTCGTTTCAGCCAAGAAAAAAGTAAAAGAAACTAGCATCGCTTTACGCCTCTACGCTATTGACACTGTACTGGGAGCTATCGTAGTCAGAGACGTTGTCCGAGCCATATCCAGGAAAACCGACTACCGAGGGCCTGGTACTGATCTGCGTGCTAGTTCGGAGCACATCAGGTATGTAGGCGGGTGCGGGACCGGCGATTTCCACAATACTTGGACGACGCGTGGCCGCACAACGTTTGATCGGCGACATAAAGATGAACAGGGTTACGGTTATAGCTAGCGTTATGATGAGTATCAGAAATCTAGCCATGCCGTCATCGCCGCGGAAATAGCATATCATGGCCATAACCAAAACCAATATGAGGACCGAAAACTTGGTCATGGTCACCGCTGTGGAATGAATTTTGCCTCCTTTCCGTGATATCATATTGGATGGTCCATAGGCAAAGTACAGATTATACCGATCCACCATATGCTTTAGACATATATAGATCATGGCAAATGGCATGATCAATGGGCAAAATATGCTGTACACTATCGATATGGTAAAGACGAGCGTTGTCCAGGCGTAGTGTGTGCCAAACGGGAACTCGATCAATATTGATTTACGTATATAGGGCGTCTCCGCTTTTGAGGTTGCTTTCAATAATGCCCAAATGTAGACAATAAGCTCCGGGAAACGCAACAGCTCCAATGAGGTACCAATAAAGGCAGCGGTTATAATATAATTGACATAGAATGAGCCTCGGTCCGGCAAGAAGATGCACTGCCAGCGTCCCGTGTCGTTCGTCAGGCCCCATTCCAATAGAGCCTGAGCCGACGTCAAGCCCAATGAGGGCAAGATCAGAATCATCAGCAGCAGGTAGCCAAAGCATTTGCACATTATCGAATAGTTTTGCTTGGATCGCGTATAGTGACCCATCCATTTATCCGATATGGAGACAATAACGGGCATCAGTGCCGACAGCGTCCACAGCATCAATGTGGGCAAAAACTCAGACACAAGTGGTGAGATTTTGCTCTCCGTATCCAAGACCCACGGACGACTATTTAGCAGGTTGACCACCATGGCCGGCGTTGTTAGGAAGAACAAGACAATAAAGAGCACAACGTTAACACAGACGAATTTCAAATACCAATGGCTCTTGTTCACATTCAGATTCTCCCAGAAGATATCATCCGGTGACGGGGCGAACACGATGTGCCATTGCCTATATGTGCCGGGCGTGAAATGATTTACAATATTCTGTGCCTCCTGCACCGTCGATACGGTCAAGAACGCAATATCCAATGGCTCATTCAATGTTGAGGCACGCAAACGTGCAACGTCACCAGAGAGTTTACGCTCTTCCCGTTGATAATACTCAAAGGCGTTCTCCTTCTTGCACGAGCACATTTCTGGCTTGGCCATCAACGTGTCCCGGTCCCGATGATGTTCGCAATAAACACGCGCTTCATGTGCCCTCTCAAACTCCGCATTCCGCACAAACAGACGTGAAATGTTGTAGGCAATGCTGACGCTCTCGATGGTCACATCGGGAAACAGTTCCTGCATATAGTTGCGTATAACCGTCTTGTTCCGATCACTAAAAGCAAAAACATCTAAATGAAAAATGTTTTAAAGCAAATGTATAGCAGCTAGTGTAACCTGTTCGATATATTGGATATCATGATGGTACGCGTGGCAGCCTTTTTGAAGGCATTCCGTCCTGAGGAGCGGCGCATGATAAGCACCACTAGCGGTATATATAGAATGGTTATGATAGTGTGCACCCACAGCCAGGGCGAATCCGGTTGCAGATTGGCCATTGTGGTGCGTCCAAATGCATTCACATCGTACAACTCATCCTGGGGCCCATTCAAAAAGTTAATCGGCAATATAATAGCTAATGAAATGACAGTGACCACGGCCATGACAGCCATCATGTGCTGCTGAAAGGACAAATAATGAACTGCATCCGGTCCGGAGTGCAGCAAAATTGTTTCCTTGCGCAGCTTAAAAGTCACACGAATCCAATTAAAGAGACCCGGTTCCGTTTGGATGGGCGAAAGAGGCGTCGAGTCGCTCTGCTGTGACGTTGCACTGGGCCTGGGCGTTGGATTGGAGGTGCTCGGCTGCGGCTCTACAACGCTCGCGGCACGTGAATAAAATATTTCCGTCCACCGTTTCTTAGTGCCATTGGCATTGACCAAAGCCAGGCGATAGTCGCTCGCCTGATGCCGCAGCGTCGTGAACAACAGAATGAGGAGCACCCAGAAGATCGTGTTCAATATCAAAGTCTCCGGTATGCCATTGTAGGCGCTAATGAAAAGCGTGGTGCGATTCCCCGACTGGCAATAGGTGCTGTTCTGGTAGCCATTATCATGCACCGTAATATCCATTTTCGCCAGCTGCCTCTCTGATCACAATTCAGTGAGTTAAGTCGCCAAGAGCAGGTGAATTACTGCAATGGTAAGTTAAAACATAAAAGCATTCGTATATTAGAGAACAAACATGGGCTCTTTCATTGCTAACACCTCAGCCAAAGCCGAAACGTGTGATATTGAAAAAAAAAAAAAAAACAAAGCTGAGATAAGAAACCGGCTGGGTACAAAAACACAGTAACAACAGACATCCTCGATTTCTGATTACTTTAATTCCACTTTAACAATTGAATGGGTATTACGAATTTGTCATTAAATAAGACGTGCGAATTTCAATATCAAAATTTAAATCTAAGTTAAATAAGCTTAAAAAACAAATTAGTTGTACACTTTTTCAACAATTTTTTTCAATCAGATTATTTTTAATATTTTTTCTGCCCTATATTTTTTTAGTGAGGAATTTTATTCAATATATTTAATATTTTAAAATATCTTAAATCTTTAAAAATAATTAATAATAGAGGAAAAATATTTGTAATAGATCTGATTATGGGTTTAATAAAACCAGAAAAAAACTTTAAAAATACGCATAGAATATTTTTAAGCTTAAAAACTTAAAATTTCTATAATACTTTATACAATACTTTCCAATAATTTTAATTCATTAATTAAGATATTTTTATAATGCTATTCAATATATTTATTTGTTTTATAAATACATTCTTCTCTATCCCATTTTCTCTAAAATCCCCATTAATTGGCTTCATCATTCACTAGCATTTAACAACAAATAAAAACTATTATGAATGAATTTGATTTTTATGCGGGACACAGCAATTGCTTGAAATACATGGAACTGTTCTAATTGGGATTTATCTTATTGGGTCGCTTTCAAACGAAACAAAGTCCACGCGTGTAACGCCTGCAAATTTCACAGACACAATCACAGATGCCGTTATCAAGCTACTCATATGCTTATTAAAGTTAGTTTGTAGGCGTTAATTGTTAGAAAAAGCCCTCAAGAAAAGGCAATAAACCACGCTTCATATATTCAACATATTCATATCACATGTGCATACGTATGTACATAGACGTTTGTCGTACAACTTTTAGAAAGCAAAGACATTTACTTGTACTTATCTCAAATATAAAATAAATGGTAATATAAGATAAGTATTGCCACTTGTCACACAGAGCATGATGACATGAATCTATTTGTAAAATGCGTATATGTATTTACAAACACACACACACATGTGCTTTATATGGTTGCAATAATCGCTTTCTTTTGTTGTTTGTTAAGCCAAATGCAAATAACACTCACACACACATACATATACGCATTGACATGGCTTATCAATGTACAATAAATAATTGCGTAGATTTAATTTATCTTCGTTTTTGGAACTTGTCTTTTGCTGCTTATTATTGTTAGTGTTGACTAACGGGGGTTGAGAGGTAATGGGGCAAAGGTAAAGGTAAAGAGGTGGTTGGCGTGCAATCGCGTCACTGCCACCTTTCCATTTCTTTATGTATTTTTTCTTTTAACTATGAATCATCGCACATTACAAATTGAATTTTTCACTACAGCAGCAATTGGCATTTCGAAATGTAGAAACACATTTACTTTAATTATGTGTTACGCCTTAGTTTAACTAGCAGATTTCACACTAATATATTATTTGCCAATTTTGTTGTTGGTCTCAATTGGTTTCGGATTTATTTTTTACACAATAATAATTGCCACGTCTACACTGCGCGATATTGCGTACCTTGACAGCTATTTTTGATTTTTATGTGTTGATTGCCAGTTATTTATTGCATTTAATAATATATTTGTTTGTTTCTGCGTTACGCTCTCTGGCTCGTCTGTCTGTTAACTAACAGTTCGCTACCATATTGTTAGCAGCAACACCTATTTTTTGCTCGAACGGTTACTGTTAAATGATTAAAACTGCGTTACTGTTGGCGCGTTGCTGAAAAGTGAAAAATATTGATCCATACTTGAACACCTGTTAGACGGATTTCAACGAGATGCAGTTTTTTCAAATACAAGCAATTATTCTCATTGGCGGAAACAATGTGTAGTATTTATATTTTAGAAATAAATAAAGTCATACAGTGCCAAGTGAGTAACTTTTTAGACAAGAGCATATCAAATCTGTGAACTATCGACTAAAAATTCATGCAGAAATATCGTATAATAAAATCGACGTTGGATTTAAACGATTTCAATTAGATTGGATTTAAACGATTTCAATTAACTGAAACTATTTTTTTTAATTGCAATGCATAGATATATTTTATATTATAAAAAAATAAAATTAACAAAGACTATTCCAAGCTAAAACGAGCATAAATAAAAAATATTCGTTAAAAATATATTTTACTTAACATACATTCAAAGTGATGGTAGAGGAACAATTAGTGAGCCAAGCATGCAAATTGGTTTGTGAGATAAAAGTCTCTTTGCTTAGAACTTTTCGTAAGCAACTTAAGCACACAGCTGCACAAAGAGGGATCAAAAACGCTTCAACAGCAAACTGTGTAGAAAATTGTATTTATTTATTTTATGAAATCCAATACCCTTAATTTAACATATCAATCCCAACGTTAAGGGCAAGCATAACATAAAAAATGGTCATACATTATTTAGACTAAAAATTATATTTTAATATACATTTCGCACTATTTAAAAGTGCTGCAAATTTTTCGTTGCGTTGCCATATTGCAGAAGTAGTATTGCCACATCAGCCCAAAAGCTTTATTGGCGTTGTGAACCATCTCGTGTTCGAACTTTTCAAGCATAATTTGCGGGAAGGCATATAATAAGAATACATTATTATTAAAAGTACACAAAAAGCAATCATGTCTGATTACGTGGTTGAACGTATAGAAGGCAAACGTATTATAAATGGAGTTACTCAATACTTTCTTAAATGGCAGGGATACCCACGTAGTGAAAATACTTGGGAGCCAGTTGAAAATCTCTCTTGTCCCGAATTTATAGCTGCTTTTGAAAAATCGGAGAACAAGCTTAAGGTTAAGAAGAGGAGATTAACGGCGAATGAAAAGACAACTACTACTACTAGTGCCACTGGAGACCGCAACGGACTAACTATACCGCACGATCAAGAGATTTTTGGTTTTGAACGTGGCTTGGCTGCTTCGAAAATACTGGGAGCCACTAATTCTTCTGGAAAGCTTATGTTTTTAATGTCTTGGAAAAATTCAAATTACATCGATCTGGTACCTGCTAAGCTAGCCAACGTAAAATGTCCGCAAATTGTTATTAAATTTTATGAAGAGCGTCTCACCTGGGAGTCTGACGTCGAAATCAAAAAACAAAAATACAAAAGATTCTAAAGGGTAACTGTTGAGCGGACCAACGGTAAATGGCACATACGCACACTTACATATATTCAAAGGAACATGCACAGCATTCCGACATACATATATACATACAAACGTTCATTAACAGTTGGCAAATATGCAGCCATACATATGTATGTATATAAATTGGAGAATTTATTTAAGTACATACCATACTTATTTGAAATGAAATCACATTCACAATTTTGTTAAATCGTAGTATTTAAGTTAACAGTTGACAAAAATTATATGACCTTTGTTATCGTACTGTTTTTGTTCTATTTTGAGAATCATTTTTGGCGCCGGCACATAACTGCAAATTAGAGTTGCCGTAGTGTTGAATTATCAAAAAAAAACTAGTTCAGAGAACATTTAATTTTTGCTCAATCACGAACCACAAACGTTGTTGGGCAATTGCATTTTGCTGCGAGGTGCGTTTTTTAGTAATCTCGTGAAAATAGCGAAGTATTGTGCTATTTGGCTATTCCACGTTGCGCACAATGATTCTGCGTGTGTCTGCCAGACACAGGGATCTGTGTAGATGAAATTTGTGATGCGATACGATGAAAATGCGTGTTTTTTTCTTTTTCTGCATATTGCAGGCGTGGGCTGGCATTTGCGAAATTGATGTGAGCTGCCATTGGGGATATTGTTGAAGCGTTGCCGCCGGCTGCAGACGTAGACACAGACGACAACAATGACCACCAGCAGCGAAGATGTGCTGCTGCAAATGGGCGAGGTGCGTTACAAGAAGGGAGACGGCACACTCTATGTTATGAACGAGCGCTTGGCATGGATGGCGGAGCACCGGGACACTGTTACCGTTTCCCATCGCTATGCTGATATCAAAAGTGAGTGCGTGTTAACATCAAGTTCTTAGCACGACATTAACTTGTATGTTTACATACCATACAGCACAGAAGATCTCGCCCGATGGCAAGCCAAAGGTGCAGCTACAAGTGGTGCTGCACGATGGCAACACATCGACGTTCCATTTTGTTAACCGTCAGGGCCAGCCTGCCATGCTTGCCGATCGTGATAAAGTTAAAGAGCTGCTGCAGCAGCTGTTGCCCAATTTTAAGCGTAAAGTTGACAAAGACTTAGAGGACAAGAATCGCATCTTAGTAGAGAATCCTAATTTGCTGCAGCTCTACAAGGATTTGGTCATTACCAAAGTACTTACCAGCGATGAGTTCTGGGCAACGCACGCCAAAGATCATGCTCTGAAGAAAATGGCTAAGAGCCAGGAAATCGGTAAGTATATAAATCTGTATATTATATATATGCATTGATTAATCTGGCTGCTGGTTCACAGGTGTCTCGGGCGCTTTCTTGGCTGACATTAAGCCACAGACGGACGGTTGCAATGGCCTTAAATACAATCTTACCTCTGATGTCATACACTGCATTTTTAAAACATATCCCGCCGTCAAGCGCAAGCATATGGAGAATGTACCCGCCAAAATGCCCGAATCGGAATTCTGGACGAAATTTTTTCAATCGCATTATTTTCATCGAGATCGTCTTACCGCTGGGACCAAGGACATATTTACTGAGTGCGGCAAAATCGATGATCAAGCGCTGAAAGCAGCTGTGCAGCAGGGTGCAGGTGATCCGCTATTAGATTTGAAAAAGTTTGAAGATGTGCCGCTGGAGGAAGGCTTTGGAAGCGTTGCTGGCGATCGCAATGTGGTCAACAGTGGCAATATCGTCCATCAGAACATGATCAAGCGTTTCAATCAGCATTCCATAATGGTATTGAAAACGTGCGCCAATGTCAATGGAACTCCGGCCACCATCCCCAATGGCGCAAACATGGCCAATGGTCCACTAGGACAATCAACATACACGAATGGCCTCAATGGTAAGGGAGCCAAGCATGCGGCCACCGACAGTGCGACCGGCACTAATATTGATGCACCGCAAACCAAGAAGCAACGACTCATTGAAAAGATACACTACGAAGATTTGGGTGATCCACTAATTGATCATGATGACGATGCGCTTCAATCGACCAATAAAAGCAAACAATTCGAACTGTCCAAAGTGGAACGCTACCTAAACGGTCCCCTGCAGAATAACATGTACGAAAATCATAATGATTCACTCAATCTGGATGATGTACAGTATAAGCTTGTGCGCAATTCCGAATCCTGGCTGGATCGCAGTGCACAGCGCAATGTCATATGCTCTAAAGCGGCTGTCAATGCTTTAGGTGAACTCAGCCCCGGTGGCTCGCTTATGCGTGGCTTTCAGGAGCAGTCGGCTGGACGTAAGTGTGCTGTATAACAATAATTAATTGTTACTAAAAACTTGTATATTTCCACCATTAGAGCTGGTGCCGCGCGACTTCCAACGCGATTTGCGGCATTTGTATTTGTCGCTTTTGGAACTGTTGAAACACTTTTGGAATTGCTTTCCGCCCACCACAGAAGAGTTGGAAACTAAGCTGCAGCGCATGCATGAAACTCTACAGCGTTTTAAAATGGCCAAACTAGTGCCTTTCGAGGTGAGTAAATTAACTTTTAACAAGGACTTTCAGTTCATAATTATTTATAATATATTCTATGTTTTAGAATCGTGCCATGCACGAGCTCTCGCCGCTGCGATCATCACTCACACAGCATATGAACATGCTGCTGCGCACTGCCAACTCCAAGTATGCAACATGGAAGGAGCGCAAGCTGCGTAACAACAGATAACAAATGCAGCATCATCTACTGCAGCAGCAGCAGCAACAGCCAATCATATAAAAAACAACAACTAGAGATCAGTACTCATTAGACGTTCGTTTAGCAGCGCGCAACGCATTCAAATACAAATATATATATATATATTAATTACGTATAAAAATATTAATTAAGATATATAACCACTGTTTGTAACGTGTCCATGATGTGGTGCTTATAAATTTATACAACATCATATTGTCGATTCTTCAACTGTTTAACTGGATTTATTTAGTTAATACATTTGTGAATTTGTCTGTTTCGGGCGCGCATCTCTTCAATTAACGTGTAAAGTTCCAACTGCATTTAACCAATTCCCCCTGACCCACTTCCAGTGTTACGCATAGCATATAAAAGAACTGATAAGTTTTATTCTAATTAACAACTGCTTGATAAATTTCAACGGCAAGCTTCTTGCTTGACTGTGAATACAATGGACGCCAGTTCAGTATGAGTCGTGCTTTCAAGAACAATCCAGCCCTGCGATTGTTCTAAAATTAAAATTGAGTTATATTAAGATGCAGAGCTTGTTCAACTTAGGTCTTGGGCTGTGCCTGCTAAGCAGCTGTTGCATTTCCATCAATCACGCAGCGCTGCTTTATCCCACAAATTCGGAATATGGTGTAACTTGTTAGCTGTTATGAAGCCTCTTCCGTGTTATAGCTAATATCGTGTTCATTTGCAGCTTTTTATGGCTATAGCTATACCAATTAGTTTGCCGCATCGCAATGTTTTTCTGTCGTATAATTACGAGTTTAATTACTATCAACCGGAGCATGTTTACAAGTTTCCTCCGATTTTGGTTAGTATGCTCAAGTTTGTTTCGTAAGTCTTTTCTTCTGTTTTGAGATTCATATGCTTTGTTCAGTTTGTTTCCTAAGTCTTTTGGTTTATTTTAATATTCAAATTGGCCTCTACAGATGGGCCAAGATTTTGAGGACGGCTATCTCACATATCCCACACACAATGCAAGGGAAAGTAGAGACTGTAAGAACTGCACAGTGAGTGCTAATAGTACGCAACCGGAGATGACGAATATTCCACCGGAGAAGGAGACGTCAGAGACGCCAACAAAGCAGCGAGAAAGACGCAATTTGCCAATGCTGACGCGAAAAACCTTCTATGCCATGATCAGTGATAAGTTAGACAGGTGGGAGCCACTGTTAACAAACAGCTTAGTCATAGTACTCATCTAAAATCGTCTTCAGATCTGGCTATCCCGCGCAGGCCTGCCTGCTGCGTTTGATATGCGAGACGAATGCCTCAACGCTGGGCGAGATCAATGGACTGCTGGGCAACATTGTGCATGTTATTTTCAGGTAAATGAGAAATGAGTTTCACAAGGCACTCCAGATAAACTCTAAATTGCCTTGCAGTCCCAGCAGCTCCAGGGATGAACAGCTACCCACTGCCTACTATCAAGCCGAGTTCGATGGACTGCAGCAGCAGTGCGCGATCTATGACGGCGACTGTCCACACAATGTATTGGATTTGATTTCGGTGCCCGTGGAGCGACTAATACAAGATCTTGTACATAGAAGAAGAAGAAAATAAAGTGGAGTACATAAGCTAATGTACTTGAAACATATTGCCTCTCGCTCACTCATTCACTTGCCTGTCTCACTGTTTGCGCTGTGAGTTAACGAGATATTTCTGTAGAGCAAACGCATTGTCTGCTGCTGCGACTAGGGCATAGAGACCAAGCTGAGCTCAGTTCTTAGCTGAAGCTGTGACTGATCAATCGAAATGGGCTTAGTTCGTAGTCTGTGCTGTCTTTTGGCCCTGTGCGTGATTTTCTATTCACATGGCAGCGATGCCTACTTGGCTTTCGTGCCCTCCAGCACGCATGGCGTAGGTTGTCTTTGCTTTGGGCTCGACGACACTCTCTGAGATTGTGCTTCTTCTCAACAGGTGTTCGCCGCATTGGCTGTGCCGCTGGAGCTGCCGCATCGCAATGTGTTTGTTTCTTATAACTTCGAGGCAAACTATAACTCGCCCTACAACTGGAGTCTGCCAACCTTATTTGTAAGTCCAACAGTTAGCACGCATTTAAAAGGTCAATTAGCATCTTCTCGAGCAACAACAATGCTATCTTATCGAATTGTTTATTGTTCGCTCAGCAAAATGGTCCCATCGAATCCGAGGAGGTGGAGCTATCACGCAAGGCAACAAAGTTGCAGCACGCAGACAATGACTCAGGGGAGCAGGAGCAGGAGCAGAATGTGGAGGGCAGCGGCTCAGAGGAACAACAAACAACTGTCATGCCCCAGCGCGAGAGGCGCGCCTTGCTCACACGCAGCAATATTTATCATATACTAATGGATAAATTTAAGAGGTATTTGGGGGTGTTATATTAATGATATATGCAACCGCTGACGATGTTTGCCATTAGAAGCGGCTTTGCTGGCGAGTCCTGTTTGCTGCGCTTAATTTGCGAAATCAATGCCGCTGAGCTGGGCGAGCTGAACGGCGTGCTGGGCAGTCTAATGCATGTACTCTTCAGGTGAGCAACAACGCAATCTCTGGATCAACTTTATCAGCTATCCATCTTGCAGTCCCAGCACCTCGGAGCCGGAGCAGCTGCCACTGCATTTCTATCAGGCGGAACTTGATGGCTGGCATAATCAGTGTCAACACTATGAGCAAGGCTGTGGACACAGTTTGTTGGGTCTGATATCGGAGCCTTTCGAGCAGATGCTCCAGCGCATAGAAATATAGTTGAAAGATAAATAAATTGTTATATTTATTTTATATAATATAAATTTAATCGGAAGCAACTTTCTTGTATGACCTGATTTAAAATTTAGTTCTATTTCAATTAACAACTTTCACTTCCAGAAAACTATTCCAGCTGCTGCTGCTGCGGCTGCTGCTGCTGCCAATTGGCACATCAGTCGACACAGTTTTCTGACTTTGCGTTTGCCAAAATATTTTGATTTTCAGTTGTTTCTTAGAAGCGTCGGAGTTATCAACTTCTAAGCCCAACATGGACTGGATAAATCTGCTCTTGGCCATAGGCCTGGCGCACAGCGTGCGGGCTGCTCTTGTATGGAATACAGGTGGCGATATAGCGGTATGTCCTTACCTAAAACAACTTAAATTATACTATAAATATATCTCAACAAATTCATATACAATAAATTATCTTATTTATATAAGTAGTATTTTCTTTTGTCAGCTCTTTATATCTATTGCTATACCAATTGATCTGCCAACGCGTCATGTGTTTGTCTCCTATAACTTTGAGGCCAGCTACAGGCTGCCACGGACTTGGCATAAACGACCTCCCATATTTGTAAGTAGTTTTGAATTATATTTATTTTATATTATACTAGAAAATATTAATGTTTATATATTTAATTCTATATAAATTGATTAATGTATTTTAGCGTCGTGGCAATGGCACTCATACGGATTCACATATTTATCCAATGGATGACTTTGATTACGAGTATAACGACTATGGGGATCATAAGCCCCACCCCAAGCCGCCCAAGCTAAGGCCACCCAAGCGCCAAAGACCGAAGCCACCCAAGCGCAAACATAAGCACAAAACCAAGCCGAAGCGCAAGCCTAAGCCGCCGCCCGATGATGACTACAAGGACTTCTTTGAGGATTCACTGGCACGCCGTTTACAGGAGCAATCGTTGCTTTCACGTACCAAGTTCTACAATATACTCAGTCGACGATTCGAACAGTACGTAGAGTTTGAAGTTACCGTTACATTTAGAGTAAACGGACAACGCATATGTCGAAGAAAAACCTTTGTAGTACAAAAAATCCCAAGCTTACTTCAGATTTCTCACTCTAACTCCCAATGAGCAATTGGAACTAACAGCCCTTATGACTCAGTGTGATCGAGCGAGATGGCCTCTCTCTCAGTTATTTTTTTGCATGCTCTCAGTGCTCTCACTGCTCTCTCGAATGTGCGTATGTATATAAATAGGGAGCAAATTTCCCTTTGTTTTTGCTCTTTAAGAGTAGAGTATTGTAAGTTATATGAGCAGTTTGTTACGCTCATATTAACATTTGTTTTTTGTTGTCTGATTATATTGGGAAAGCGTATTAAAGTGTTGATACGATTCATATAAATAACTTTTTGTAGACTAGAGCGCGCGCGCACACATACATGCACATACATGTATGTGTGCTTGTGCTTGCTGAAAGCAATTGCAGGGTAATTGCAATAAGATGACTTTTGATATTGTGGATTTCTACTTCACACACATACGCACACGTACACATAGTGAACTATATCGCTTTTTCTATTCCCATTAGGCATGGATTTGGCAGCGGCGAAGACTGCCTACTACGGCTCATTTGCGAGGTGAATAGCGGCCCAATAAGTGAGCTAAATGGCGTTCTGGGCAGCTTGATGCAAGTGATGTTCAGTCCCAGCAGCTCGAAGTACGAGGCGTTGCCCAAGGCCTACTACGAAGCGGAGCGACATGGCAAAAGCGACAATTGCCAAAACTACTCGACCAAGTGTACACGCAGCGTATTGGATTTGATCACGCGCCCCCTAGTTGACTACATAGGCAATAAAACTGCTTTGCTGTAGCATTTAGCTTTATTCTATGTGCTTTTCATGAACATCTTGAGTGCTGGCCAGGCACAGGTTTTCATATACGCTCTCGCCTCTTGGCACTGTTTGTTGGCGCGCTGCCAGATTATGGCTGGGCAGCGTCTCATCAGTCGCGAATAGGCGCAAAGGCTGTAAAAGAGGGCGTGTCGATCGCAGGCATCACTCTGTTTACTGATCTGTGTCAGCTCCTGGTATTTGCTGTGCACCAACGAGGCGCAACTGGCAAAATTGTTGGCATAGGCATCGATGATGTCGGGATTAGTGAAGGCGCGCTCCAACATCGGACGCACATGGGTCAAATTGAGCTGTCGACCCTGCAGCGCCTTTGTGGCATTAAATATGCAAGCCAGACGACACTAAATGCATAAGATAATGAATATATATAGCAGGGATTTATATAGAGTTTCCTAAACTTACGCTAGGTTGCACGCCCGAGTGACCGCACTCGCTGTTGTAGGCGCCCCAATTGGGCAAGGGTAACGGACAGCATATTTGAACGTTCTGCAAATATCGATAACAGCTAATTAATCGATAACAGGCGTTGAGCTAATTTGTTTACCTGCACAGATTTGGGAGCTGCTTTGCACTTGGCTGCGCTAACGGCAGCTGGAAGTAGAAACAATATCAAGAATATCCAAGGCGAACACATGCTGAAAGCTCTCTCTAGTAACTGACTAGACTGGACTGATTTGGATATATAGCCTATTATGTATATAATGCGCTTGCGTGCTGTAGCTGCATGTGCAACTTGACAAGCGCTGCTGCTTGTTCTGATCAAAGATACATAACGATTGATATTTTAGGTCTGTTAATAGAGTTAAATTTTTATTGTTTTACGGCTTTCAATGAAATATTCATGATTACCCAATTATTTAACAATAACTATAGAGCTTGCATGATAGCAGAGTAAAAGTAAAAAGTTAACTTCAGGTTAAATATATTCAAATTAAATAATTCATATAGATTTTAAATAGATGTAGAATTAACATGTTCATTGTAAATGTTTACAATGTGAATACACTACATGACAAATCAAATAATGTTAACAATAAAGCGGAAGCACAGCTAAAGCTATGTAAGCTTTAGATAAGCCTTAGAAACAGAATGAAAAAGTAAAAGTCCACGATAACGTGCATGTTAAAGTAAGTGCTAAAATTGAATTGAAGTTGGGGAAAACTTTTCTAAAAGGTATTTAAAAAATTACAAATATGCGCATGAGTTGCAGTCACAAATTAAAGTTCATGTTAAATTAACAATGAAGTTGACAAAGTGATTCTAGGTATTTAAGGCAGAAGTCAATTAAAAATTTGTAAACATATTAATTTAAGCAATTTAAATATGAGCGCTTCATTAATTTTCTGATTCCATTTAATCGTGTATATATATAGCTCCAACTTCTGACTGCCCTGGCTTAAAGCAAACGCAATGCTAACCCACTGGCTGGCTTCAATAACTTGGATGTTAGCTAACCTAAGGTGGGGCTGTAGTTCAGTGAGTGACTGCAGCAAACGCTTGGATGTGAATGTGAGTAGTCCAAAAAAAGGATATTCATTGGATATATATTTAAATTGATATATATATATATATATGTCTGTAGAGTGGCAGCTGCTGCGCCATACCCGACGTTAATTTTGAGCCCTATCGTCAAAGTTGTGGCCACTTTCTGAACAATAGCCAAAGCAGCTTGATACCCGTAAGTAGAGGTTGCCCCAATCATATCAATATCTTTGTCTCACTCTCAAATTTGTAGTGTCTAGTGGACTGCATCTTCAATGCCAGCCACGTGCTGATTGGCAATCAGATGAATGCGGATAATGCACGTAAGATGACAGAGCAGCTAATGAGCGCTAATCCGGACTTTGTGGACATTTCTGTGACGGCTCTGCTGAACTGCTCGGCCAACAAAGAGCAGTGGGAAAAGTTTCACAAGCGCCGTTTCTTTGGCAATTACAAGTGTAGCCTATTGCCTCTCTATCTGAGAACGTGCGCCGTCGAAATCGCTTTCGTCAACTGTCCCACGAGCAGCTGGAAAGGCGGCAAGGCGTGCGAGGAGGCGCGCGAATATAAACTGAATTGCAAGTGCGATTTAAGTGGAAGAGTTTGTAGTGCAAGAACTTGAGAGTGGACTCATGTGGAATATGTCAATTATGCCTATAAACTAGTATTATATAAACAAGAAATTTGCTAAGTCTATCAATATCTTACTCAATATCTTTATCCATAGTCAGAAACTTTAATAAAGTTCAATTCTACTGGGCTGAGCTTCACATGATATCAATTTTAACCTAACTATTTTAAATATATTATAACTATTATATATAAAATTTAATTATTTCCAACAGATAATTTTTTTGTTTATAAACTTTATTACAATAAAATACAATTATGTTTGTTATAGAGTTTCTTTCTATATGATCCTTAATTGGGGATCAACTTCGAGCAGCTCTTGACACTTAGCTGAAGAACACATCGTACCAGCTGGGCTGCTCACGTTGGCTAAGCGACTCGGCTGCACCGCAGCCATTATCAGCTTCCAGTAAGGCATCTGCATCAATTGTTTGAGCTTGAGCTGCTGTTAGTTTCATACGCACAAATATATGTATAAGTTGAAATCATATAGAAATTGAACTTTGTGCCCACCCAATTGGTCCAGACTCATGCCTAGGCGTTGAGCATGCTGCATGAGCGCCGTGAGTAGCAGCTGTGTGTCTATAACGCCATCCTGCTCCACATCCTGATAGGATATTAATTGCTCCGACTCCTCGGCGGCACAGCCCAGGCTTAAATCAGTGTTAGTCTCAAGCTGTTCTCACAAAAATTCACAGTTATCTATTACTAGTTATTAGCGGATGGCTGCCCCTGCTCACCTGCTCATCTCCTGGCTCCACAATGAAGTCCTTGAAAGCAGCTCGAACATTGTTCCACAGCAGCAGGCAGCTAATTATCAACACAGCGGACTGATTCATGATAAACTGAAAAAAAAACACAAACACAGATCAATGATCGAACTGAACTCTTTGGCAACTGAACCTTGAATGAGCCATGCCAAAGATAATTAGCCAGATGCGGCTTGACATGGCTCATTAAATAGCCATGAAAGTCGATCACAACATCGAGATTATGAAATAAATATAGATATATTATATCTAATATGTATCGTATGTATTAAAAACTATTTTTTATTGATTTATTTTTAGAGTATTTATAATCATTTTTGATTACATACATAACTCTGTGCTATAAGTATTTGTAATGGGATTTTTAAATAGGGTAAAGAGGAAAATATTTATAAAAGATTTATATTAAATAAATAATATTTAATATTTAAGTATTTCAACTAGAGTAAATATATTAAATATTCAAAATAAAAATAAAAATAAAAACATTCATTATACATATTTAAAATATATAAAATATATAAAAAAAATATGTATCGAAAATATAAGTATTTAAATTTAAAAAAGCACAAAAAAATATAAATAAATATAAAAAATTATATTTTAATATAATAAAATATATAAAAAAAAATATATATATGATAGAAAAAAATATGTATAAAAATATAAGATAAAATGAAATAAAGTATTTAAAATATTTACATTTAAAATATATAAAAAAATTTAATGAACGAAAGAGGAAATATAAACAATATAGAAAAAAATTTATAAAATACAAAAATAAGTAAAATAATATTCGATTAAAAAATAATATTCCAATTAGATTAAAGTAAGCATTTTTTTTATTATTTATATTTAGCCAATAGATATTTCAAAATATTTTAAGGCTGCTCAGCTCTTGGGCAGTGGCACATGGGGCAGCGGATTGCATTGCTGGGCAAATTGCTTGGCCACAAGGCATTGCTCGTCTGACTTCCACAGCTTGGCGGGGCAATTGAGGAAGGTTTCCGCATTGACGCAGCTATATAGCATGGCAGCATAGGGCGAACAGCCCTGGGGCAATACTTTATAGCCCTCCAGGTTGGCGGACTTCAAATGACCATGAACTAAGCAAAACATTAGTCGGCAAATGAATACTAAACAAATATTACGTATACGCACTGTTTTTGCGGCATGTATCGAAGGAGCGCACGATGTGTGGCACCACCTCGCGATCACGTCGATGCACATGGTCCTGCAAATACTCGCGCACCTTGTCCATTTGCAGACGACCGTTGATCAGGGCGCCTGTCTCCCTATAAACGCACTCCGGATAGCACTGAACGGAGGCGGGACAATCGTGAGAGTGAATCTAATTTATATTATTATTTTAGCTTACCAGATGCGCAAAGGCTGGATATTTTGGATTGGCCGACTTCAGCTGATTCACGTGCTGTTGACATTTCTGTGGCACGTTGCCCAAATTGATTTCCGGCGTCCGGCAGCACGAGTTTACGTCCTGAAAAAAAAAAGAAAAAAAACATTTAGCAATCATATTCATTATTCAGGCATTCATAATGTACTTACGAAATTGTTGAAGCTCGGTGGCGCCGAACAATTGTAGGCGGCCTGGGCGGGACACAGCATCGCCAGCAGCTGCGCATGAATAAATTATTAGACGAGGGGTCCAGCATTAAAGGGTATTTACTTACCATTAACAATGCAACGGCCGCGTATATTTCAATTTTGCTCGTCTGCATTTTGCGTAACTTTTCACGGACGTGTGGCAAAAGAGTAAAATTTGTGAGCCAACCCGTCGAGGCTTTATATAGTCATTCGGATATTGTATTTTAATGAGCTTGTAATCGTCATAACGCCATGAAAAAAAAAACACATTAAAAATAAAAACAGAACGTAGGCCAACGTGGTTCAATGCGTCCATTGAAGGTGACACATCGAATAACAAAATGCTGACCAACTGATGGGTCGAGTGCGTCGACTGATATGGGAATTACTTTCACCTAGCCAAGCGGGCACAGCGCGTGACCGGCGGCTAAACTGTAGTTTAGGGGAAATACCAGCAGCCAAATGGCAGCTAATACTCACTAAATACTCTGATTTAGATTGAATCATTTTCAAGGGTTTCACGAAATTTTCTGGTGTCTTTAAGTGGGGCTAAATGAAGTCAGCTTTTTGTAAATAAAATTGTTTTTGCTGAGGGAAATGCCATAAATGAATGTTGGCTTGGAGAAATATTGGATTGAGATATTATATTCGTGCATTATATTCTGTATATTTCTGTACAGATTACAGATTCAGCTTTAGATTAGTGTGACGTCTTGTGCTCGATACTGCAGAAGGATATGAACGAACGCTTTTAATGAGAAGATAAAGGCGGCCTCGAAGGAGCAGCAGAACAAGATTACAAAAACTTTGGCACTATAATAACTCTATAATAACTGATAATGATTATATAAGATATTCATGAATAAAACAGAAAAACTTCTAAGAAAAAACCACTAAAATCGAACTACTCCTTAAACAAACCGCATACTTATGCAACTCCTTAAAATGCCTCGGCCTCAAGTGCGTTTCATTTATGCCAAAACTGTTAGATTTATAATTTAGAAGTTTTTTTTTATAAATTTACTCAAGTTTTCATTTTGAAATATTTGACTAATACTGAAAAGTTATTTCATGACAGATTTCAGTTTATTATTGTAAAATATTTTTGTGTTTTATTTGATATATATATCTAGTATTTTATATTTCCCAAATAATAAGCATTGTTTCTAAATTTTTTTGAACAACTCAATTTCGTTTATCAGTGCAGCGGCAGCCTTCAGAAAAAGTTAGTTCATGCATGGTTGAGCAGCACGCATAATAATATTCATCTTCTTCTTCTTCTCCTTGCCATTGTTGTTGTTGTCGCTGCTGCTGTGAAGCCACCCGCTTGTCTGCTGGCTCAGTTAGCCCATTGTTCAGCTATAACTTTGTCAGCAGCATCATGGTCTGCGTATTCATCTAACTTTGGTTTTACTGTCACATGCTCGACATTCGGCTTAACCGCTAAGACGAGAGCTGATGACATTTTATCGACTTAAAGACTTCAAATATTTGAAGTTGCGGTTGCTTTTAAGATTTAGTGCTTGAGCTTTAAATATGTGTAAAGTTATGTTGAGCATACGACATGTTGTACGCGTCAGACTTAGCTAGCTAAGCTGATTAAAATATACTTACTCAAAAAGAAAATTGATTGCCTAAAAGTAAAAACTTGAAGCAGTTGAGTTGGGTTGAACTGAAATTACGTATACGTCATGTGGCATGAGATGGACTGAGCCGGCTGAGCTGTTGATGCTTGCAGAAGTCTACAAAAAGTTTAGCACTTTATTAGCTTTAATTCTAGGGTATTTAGCTGTCTATCATTAGCTTATCACAATTTATAACAATAGCGATTTACGTTCTTGGACGCTTTGCCAAGAAATTTCTCTTAACTCTTTGGCTCAATGCGAAAAAAAAAACAGTTAACTTTGATAGTTCTGTCAGCTGATGCTGCTGCTGCTGCTGTGTTAAATTGAAAAACTTTTGTCTGTCTTAGCGAATCAATCTAGGATTCTATGTGAAATCTCTTTAGACGCATCGCTCCCACACACTTGAAAATCACTTTTATGGCTTGTTTAGCAGAGCTAAAATGCTTGGCATTTAATTCAATTGACATGTCCTTCGACTGTGGCAGTGCTTTAATATGCATAAGGATGTGCGCATACAAGGCACGCAGGACATTTACGGCGAACATGTCTTTGCTCTTGGCAATGAATTTTTCAAATGGAATTTAAATGCTCTCCACTGGCAGTTGACATTAGCATTTTTATTTTCTGTGTAGAAGGTTTCGCCTCACGTTGTTGTTGTTGTTGAGCTGTTAAGGACGCTTGGCGAATGTGTCAGACACATTCAGCCCTCAGCTGTTTTTTGGGGGAGGCCAAAAAAATGTTTTGTCATTGTGTTATTATCAGTAGGCTCCATGTTGGCTTTTTATTTAAATACCTAAGTGCGTGTGTGTGGGTGAGTGTGTGTTTTGGGTTAGCTTTGTTTGGCACTGATTCTTTTTTTCCATTTGTTTTGCTTCGTTTTCAATTTGAGTTGGCTTTCCGGCAATTCGGCGCACCTGGCGCATATTGTGATTTTTAATAAATGTCGACACGCGTCGCACTCGAGTTTAATTTGATTAGAGCTCGACGCTACTTCAAAGAACGATATGGCTGCTGCCACTCAAAAACTAATATCCTTTTTGCCAGCCTGCATATGTGCTTTACCTAAGTAAACAGTGTCCTTGTCAGGGCAGCAAAATGCTGTACAAACAGTGCCTCTAATAAATATTTACATAAATCAAATGAGCGGCTTAGCAGTAGACAAAAAAGAAATTGCATTTCCTTTCAAAATATTATACAAAATTTACTACGCACACACACACATCTACACACACACACACGCACACCTGTTGCTTGGCAGCCGAAGCAGCCATCGTTCTGTTGCTCTGGTGGAACGCAGCTTTTGCGCAGAGCTTTTCTTGTGGAACGCAATTGTTTCGCGCCATTTTGCCGAGCCCTTAAAGTGGTAAGAACTTGCAGCTTGTTAAGATGCGAAGCATTCAGTTATCAGCGGCTTCTCGACGAGTGCGGTGCGTATAGCGAGCGCTAGTGTCTAGTCTAGGGCGGTCATAAAAACCTAAAAAAAATCTCAAAAATACGAAATAAATAAAAAATAGAAGAAAAAAAATAAAAATATGTATTAAGTTTCTATAAAAATATTTAATTTATTATTTAAATGAATACAAAAAATATATATTTATTAATATAAATATATACAAATGATCTGCCGCCGCAAGCAAATGTCATGGAAATTAATCCAGCATACAAATGCGTAAATCAGAACAACAACTGATGTGTGTGTGCGTGTGTGAATATAATAACCAAGACAACCACAGCAAACAAGAAATAAACGCTTAAGCATAATCATTTCGCAGCTTAGCACGCGTTAAGTACATTTAAGCCAGCGCAAAAGGACAAAAGGATAAGCAGAACGTTTGCTCAAGCTGCGGTCAGATGGAAAATCTAGCGTTAGCTGAGCCCAATACACGAAAGGTATGTGAACTGGGTGTGTGTTTGCCCTGGTGTGTAGCAACAATCAGTTGCTGTTTGCAGCTTTAATTAAAATGCCAAACGAAAAACCAATAGACGCCCTAACAACGCACAACAATGCGCAGCTTTATAAAAGGCTTGCCAATTGGCCAATTGGCTGTTGTGTGTGCGTGTGTGTGCACAACAAATGCAATATCGATTGCCCCGCCCCCTCAGCAAAAAAAAAAAAAACTCTATTACATATAGATATCGATAGCCCTGGCAACAGACATATTTGTTGAACGGACAATGGCTGGCAATTGAGAAAACTTGTTGCCTACTTTTAGGCTTCGCACAAAAATTTGATTTCCTTTACGAACTTCCGTTCGACAACCCCATAACAAAGGCCGTAAATCTGTTGGCAAATCTCTGGCAGAAACGAAACTTGCAATGCATTAAGCCAAATTTTTATTGACCCAATAAATAACAGATTTCGCAGCACACATGAACACACGCTCCGGCACAGGCCGCCCCCTCCTCAAAACACACTCAGGTTTTCTGTTTGTCTTATTTAGCTTTTGTTGTGCAAGTTTTTATGGATTTATGCGAGCCAGCAACCGAATATAAATCCCCAGCTTGTTAGCAACATCGCCAGCAAAACCACAGCCACATCCACTCAATCTCTCACGTAGCTGCAGCGCGTGCTGTTCCGGGCTGTGCTGCTGCACGTGCCCCAAAAAAACAAAGCAAAAAAAGAACTAAAAGCTGAACGGAAAACCGTTAATGGCGAGACAATAAAAGGCAACACTTGTTGGCAATGGCCACTGATCCTGCTACAAATGGCAGACCATCAAGTATTTGGCTAACAGCCAGGTGTGGGCGTGGCCCACTACAGCCAAGCGGCAGTGTGCAAATTATGAAGGGCGTCTAGACAAGACTCACTTGTCGCTTTCTTAGCTTAACTTGCCCCACATCTATGAACTCTCCACCGTTCTCAATCTCTGTGTGGCATGCGTAAGCCTATGTTTAAACCTTTGCCCAATCTTTTGACGGGGCAAGAACAACGTTTGCGCTTTTCATGTTGCCCATCATCAAATTTCATTGCCGCCTGTGGATGCATAAAAGTCGGGTGGAAGAGCACGAAAGAAAAAATAAAACACTTGCCACAAAAATTTTATACCCCTGCCGATCTATGTACACATACGCACACACACACATATTACATTGTAGACATTAATGTACCGCTGAGATTGTGCCTGAGGGAGTCATATTGCAAGGCGAATACTCACTTTTAAGGGTTTGTAAACTGACAGAGTATAAAAATCGTAATATGTAAATGAAACTTGGTTAGCATTTGTGGTAACCGGATTCAATAGAAAATATAAGAAAATCAATGAAAATTAGAATATTTCAAAACTATGATTATGATTGCTTAAGCACAATATGAGCTTTAAAAATTAAAATTAAATTAATTGCAATCGAGAAATATTTTCATTGCAAAAAAAATAAAAAATAAAATACACATGAAGAGCTCTCGGCAAATAATACTAAAGGCAATAAAAATAATCGATAAATTTTAAGCATTAGCTCAGAAAATTGATCGATTAATTACAGTCGATAACTATTGAAGCACAAGAAATAAGCTTTTATTATAAATATTGCGAACCGTGAAAACTGTGGGCAGAACTTTCAGGAAATGTTACTTAAAGCAATAAAAAAATATTGATTTTAACGATCAATTCATTATCGATAGTCAAGACAAATGGTATATATATGTTGTTTAAATGTACTACAGACAAAAATTGATCTATAGGCTTGCTTCTGTCTGTTTTGCAGTACATTCAGGTATTCTTTTGTAGCTAACTCACATCTTTTTCAAATTTTTAAAATATATTTATTTGTCCAATCTAGTCAAAGCAAAGTAGATTCTGTTTATGATGCATTTGTGGACAAGTACAGCTTTATAATTTCATTGTCAACGTTTCTAAAATGAAAATGTCATAAGAAATAAGTTTTATATCGTATGCTAGTATTTGGTTTAAAACAATTTGCCAAGGGCGCACGCGTCGTATGCGTAATATATGCTTATAAATTTTTAAATGCGCCGTTGTTTCATTGTTTCGTTTCCATACTGCTCGCTTAGTGTGTGTGTGTGTGCATATAAAATTTAATGAGCTACAATAATGAGCGCTGAAACGGAGCAACAGAAGCTAAATATAGCAATCAAGCTGCGCTGTCCTTTTGTTGCCCATGCGCATCCTGACATTTTGTGTGCTGTGTGCTGATGCTTTATTGTCTTTCGCCGTTTCGCTGATAATGAAAATGTCTTCAATTCAACCGCGGCCTGTCTACGTATGTCACAGCCAGGCCGACAGCTGGAGAGCTGGCTCCAAACGCAGCCATTTAGTGCTGCCAAACAATTGCGCCACTGTGCGAGAGTGAGTTGGTCTCTTGTATGATTATCATTATATTTTCAATTCTATATATCGGAATGCTCGACAATTACGAGACGCAGCGAGGAGCGTAAACATTTATAAGCATTAGAGCAGCAGCCGGAAATTGCTGACACTCGCCCAGAGCGGCTGGAGGAGGACTGCGGCATGAGCAATTCGCATTCCTAACGCTGCGGTACTCATTCAGCCGCAGCAATTCGATCCACACACTCACTAAACGTCTATGTGTGTGGGTTTGTGCGTTTGTTGTCGCCTTTGGCAAATCCATTGTGTGCAATCGCACGAGATTAGATACAATCTTCTATAATAGCATACGCGCTGGCAGGACTCTAAGAAAGGGGACTGGGAGCCACGAGGCAGGGGCAGCTGGGCAAGGATGCGACAGCAAATAAGCGAACGTTATACATTACCACCGCCCCTCAGATGCCCTTTAGCGTATATCCATTGGCTCTGCTTCTATTTATGTGTGCGAGTGTGTGTGAATGTGTGTTTGCATTTTATTTGCCCAACTACGTACATATGTGTCCTTTTGATACCCTGCAGATAATAAAGTTTTGTGAAGAGTTTTTCTAAATTTAGGGTGGGTACTAAACAGTTAGTCAAAAATTTGATTTCGACCAATTTTAGATTTTTGTATGCTAAAAATACTATAAACTGGTTTGTTTTCTATCTTTCTTATCGTTTATCATATTTGGAAATATCGATTATCGAATATCGTATATTGTATTTAGTAAATCTTATATATGTGAGAATATCGAATGAATATCGTATATCGTATAGGTTCATATTGAATATCGTACATTGCTTGAAATTATATAAAATCAAATATTTTCTATCGTATATCGTATTATTGACTTATATTAAATTTAAAATATGTATTATCTAAATATAGTACAAATAAATCGTATTTTAATTGTATTTGAGTATCGTATATCGTAAATTATTTTCTTTCTTAAGTTATTTTATAATTGAGTAGTTTTTTTCAATTAAAATAAAAATGTTTTGTATTATTTAGAAATTAAAGGATATTTTGTAGTCTATCATTAATTTTGAATACTTTCATAGTTCTTTTACTTTCCTTTCTGTTTTTGCTAGCCAGCAGCAGTTTTCGTAATGTGCTTTTTATATTTGCGTTGATTTGGCCAAGCTGAAAATATTTTATGATGCCAGCCGGACATTCATCAAGTTGTGAACGCCGTAAATGAGATTGTCACATGAACACATTTCATTTCTCTCTCTAAATATGTGTATGTGTGTGTGTGTGTGTGTGTGTGTGTGTGTGAATGTCTTTGGTGGCCTGTCAAAATGAATTTGCATTTGGGCCCAATGAATTGTGTGCCGCATCTTGTTGTGGCTAATTGAAATCAAATATGCAATTAGCAATCAAATTTCCATTTTAATTTTTCTATATTTTCTATTTCTTTTCCTTTGTCTTTTGGTTCTTTTTTTTTTGTGTTTCAGATATTATTTATGAGGCAATTAGATGCTCGGGTCTCGTTGCTAAGAAAAATTGAAAAATTGAAAAATTGTTGCCTTAAAACTGTGGCAAGCCGCAATTGCTAACAGCTAACGTGGCTAATGAAAGCTGGGCTAAAAGCAAGCAAGCCTCGGGCATGTGCAGAAATAATCTAGTCGACGGCGGTGGCTTTACATGGCGCTAATTTACGAGCTAGGCGGCATTAGCAATAGCAACAACAATAACAACAACAGCAAAGAAAATTACAGCGAAAAGGCGTTGAACAAAGGAAAGGAAATTATGAGTGCACAGTGAGTCAGAAAAGTAGAGCACCCACATACAGATAGTTGGACATGTGTATGTGTGTGTGTGTGTGCGAAACAGCCGACAGGCAACGAATGCTATGTGAAACATTAAAAGTTAATGTTTACTATAATGAAAACTATATATACATATGTACAGAGTGCACTCGTTAAAATGAATTTGAGCTGCACATTTAAAACTTTTTTTTTGTAGTTTTTGAAAAATATTAATAAATCTCATAATACACAAGAAATAAAATTTTAATAAGTTCAGGAATATATATATAGGAATTTATATTTCCGATCATATAAATATGGTTGTATGCCTGCTTGTCTAAAATCCCCTTCTATATTCTCATTACTCTCACCTGTCAGCCTAATGAGTGACACTCACTTTGCGAGTGACTCCTAGCAAAAATTGCCCGAAAATTGCTCTTGAGCTGCGCTTTGAGTGACCTTTTGTCAGCTATAAAAGGGAGATCCAGCTGCAGAGGTCAGTCAGAGATCAGTAGCGTGTACGGCCTGTTGATGGATCAATAAGATCATGTTGAAAACTTTTTGTTTCTTTTGCTAATACTTATTATTCAAATATTCATATATTCATATATATCATAATTTTGCTTTGAATAATGTCATAATAAATTAGGCTAAAATATTTAAGCGAAATCTCTTAGTCAAACACTGTCGATTTAACTTTCATAAATATTTTTTTCTTTCTATAAATATATTTTGTAGATTTGATTTATATAAAAATAAAAATATGCCATCGATGGCACAGACAAATATTTTTAAATTATGGATGTATATAAATATATAATTTTATATATATATTTGTGTAATATGTGTTATATATATATATACATAAAGAATGAATTTATTTTATATTTTTTTTGCATTTTCTTTTTATTATTTGTGAGCTGAATATTTGCTGAAATATTCATAGCTTGAACTTTTCCATTTCAATTTGCATAATTTTTGCTCTTTGCTTTTTGCCTTTGCCTAATACATAAATAATTGTTAGCTATTTACCGTTAACTGTGTTTATTTATGCCACCCGCACCTACATTAAGAATCACTATTAAATGCGAAACCCTTTTATGGTCTCAACAGCAGCACAAAAACCACTTCCGCCCTCATACGCCACCCGTTCGCATACTACACGCGCGCACTGTGCTGCACGCTTGGTTGGGCACAGCTTCTACATATTTATTATCTGTTTATATTTGTCCATGTGCGTGTGTGTCTGGGTGTGTGTGTGCGCTTTTTTTATGCCATGCATTAATGTAACGATGCATCATTTATGCCATTTATTATCAGCATATAAATGCAAGATTTGGGTCCTGCTGACTTGAAGGTTGTAGCACGTGCCCGCTGGCCAGGCCCTTTGCTAACTGTCTAGCCCTTAATTTCTGCCTACCTTTTTGTTTATATCCTTTATTTGTTGTTGCCCTAACCCACTATCAGTTAGTCAGTCGTTGATGGCCAAGTTTTGTGTTAGCTAATGAATTTTTATAGCTTCCTGCCACGCTTGCGCGCCTCGCCTCGCCTCGATATTAAAAAATCAGGCAACCAAATGTGTCTAGGCCAAGTTAAAACCGCAGGGCATTACATGCAATTTTCCTCATTGATTGTATGCCGCTTTAAACTGTTGCCCCTTTGGGATGGTGAACATTGCGCTGAATTCTTTGTTGGCCAGTGCAATTAACCCACACACACGTAGTCTCACACATACACATAGAAAGTTTAGTAGCCGGAAGCTGCGGTTGTTAGGACTAGGTCCTTGTTGCCGTGTAGAAAACTCGACACACACCCACACAGATTGAATTGTGTTTTCTTAGCCATTTTGTGGCTTGTCCTGCTCTGGGTTAGCTTAAAGCTATTTCGTGGCATAATTTACATGTTTAAAGTGCGGTGCAACGTCGGAACACTTTTAGGATTTATTGCCAGCGTATTTTATTTGACATGCGTCAGCATTTTATGTACTTAAGAAACACGCAAGCAAAGATAAGCATGTAAGGTGTAGAGTATAGAGTGTACGTCCTTAGAGCGGGGTAAGCTTCAGTGTAACTTAAAAAATTGTGGAGCTATCACAAAAAAGGACTGTTCTTCGTATGTGTATGCTTTCTAAGAACTTGCATACTAAATTTAAATGTGAAAGCTCTTAAAGTTTTCGAGTTATGCTTAAAAACAGAAAGCTAAAAATTGTATTTTAATGATATTAAGGGCGGTCCTGGACCTATGCTTAAAGATTTATATTTAAAATATATTTTGATTAATATTATATTAAGAACTATGGTATATAAAAGAACTATGGTAAAAGAGTCTGGTCTGGAAAGTTGCTTAGTTAAAGGTAATAGAAGTGAAAGAAGACAGATTATAAAAAGAATGAATAAATATAATTTTTTAATAATTTAAAAATTCCTCAGAGCGTTCTCGAGTCGTAGTAATTTACAGTCAGCTTCTCATTCTGATTAAGATGCTGTCTCTCTCTGTCAGTTTGATTAGCTTTTAATGGCTTGTGATTCAATCAAGCAATTTTGTTCTCATCTCAACCCTTTTTCATTTGAATGTAACTAAGGTAACATCACAGTAAATGCCGGACATGCCAGGGTTAAGCCAAGTCTGAGAGGCGCCCACTGTCGCAGCGGGCTCGAGAGCTGCAGCAATGAGCAACGACAACAACGACGAGAGCAACACAAACGCCAACACCAACACCAACATCAACACTCATGACAGCAACAACAACAGCCACAACAATAACAGCAGCAGCGTTTGGTCAGCCGACAATCTGGATGCGATCAATCAAAGCGTCGAGCTGAATTGCCTGCTGCAGCAGCAAATCGAGACATCGACCTATGGCAATGCGAGCGACCATTGCCTCACTCAATTCGACTCGATACTCTGCTGGCCACGCACAGCACGGGGCACTTTGGCCGTGCTCCAGTGCATGGACGAGTTGCAGGGCATACACTATGATAGCAGCAGTGAGTATAGAGCAAACATACATAACATGTGACGAGTACAGTGAAATCTGCTATTATTGAACAGCAAATGAGCTGATAGAAAAGATAGAACACGTTTGCGTGCTTCTCTCTGCGCAATATTTATATTGATATTTTTTTTATCTAATGCGGGACATTTCTATAGATGTACTAAACGTACTCAAAATGTACTAAATTTTTTAAGTGTATTAAAATACTTAATATATTAGATTTATTTACTGCACTAAACTTACTAAATTTTCTATTAATTGTATTCGTTTTACTTGATTTACTATATGTACTAAAATGCATTAAATGTACTAAAATGTACCAAAAAATTTACAAAAAAGTACTAAAATGTAACTGATACAAAAATTGATTAAAAATCTAATTGAGCTATTTGCTTAATTGGGCTGTCCATTAATATAGATTTCACTGTACAAATTATTCTACAATATCTAAAAATATATACCAAATATACTCAATATACTATATGAACTAAACTATTGGTCATTGATGCTCCAAGCGTAATCAAATGTACTAAATGTATTAAATCTCATAGATGCACAAAGTGCGCTCCATTCATCAACTGTACTAAATGTTCTAAACATAATCAAAGCTCTATGTAAACGTTATAAGAAACGTCGTCCGTCAGTGGAGTTTCTACTGTACACACCATTTACTCATATTGCTATTACCTTTGGCCTATGCAACTGTCCGTACTCCACAGAGAATGCAACGCGTTTTTGCCACTTAAATGGCAGCTGGGCGCAGTACACAAACTACGATGCATGCGCCCATTTGCCGGCGGAGACGGAGACGGTGCCGGAGTTCGAGACAATTGTGGAGCTGCCCACCATCATTTATTATATTGGCTATGCATTAAGCCTGGTCTCGCTTACCCTGGCGCTCATTGTATTCGCCTACTACAAGTGAGTGTCTAGCTGCTATCTACCACATAGCTATGTCTGCTTTACGCCTCTCTTCCTCCACCTGCTCACATAGGGAGCTGCGTTGCCTACGCAACACCATCCACGCCAATTTGTTCTTCACGTACATCATGTCGGCTTTGTTCTGGATACTCCTGCTGTCCGTGCAGGTGAGCCCCGTGCCCCCACAGAGCCTGGGCAGCGCCCATTGCCCATTGCTCATTTCACATTTTCCTTTTACCTTTTGCCTGTATCTGTTCTGCCTTCAGATCTCGGTGCGCAGCGGCCTGAGCAGCTGCATCGCCCTGGTCACGCTTTTTCATTTCTTTACGCTGACCAATTTCTTTTGGATGCTGGTCGAGGGTCTCTATCTGTACATGCTGGTGGTCAAGACCTTTTCCGGCGATAATATACGCTTCAATATTTACGCGTCCATTGGCTGGGGTAAGTCTCGTTGTCTAATTATGTTGTCATCTACACATTTCTAATACTATCCTGCTGCTTTTTTGGGTAGGCGGTCCAGCGTTGTTCGTGGTCACCTGGGCGGTGGCTAAGGGTCTGACAGTGAACTACAACAATATGGAGAAGGTAAGTGAAGGCTGCATTTGGTTGGGATTGGGGAGCTCATTAAAGTTTTATTCGCGCCCAGTATGACATCAACTGTCCCTGGATGGAGGAGACGAATGTTGACTGGATATTTCAGGGTCCCGTCTGTGCGGTGCTCATCATCAATTTAACATTTCTGTTGCGAATCATGTTTGTAAGTTCTTTGATATGCCCGACATAGTGCCAGTCCTCAGTCAGCGTTTCCCTCACCAGGTGCTCATTACAAAGCTACGCTCGGCGAATACCGTTGAGACGCGTCAGTATCGCAAGGCGGCCAAGGCACTGCTGGTGCTTATACCGCTATTTGGCATCACCTACCTGGTGGTGCTGGCAGGACCCTCCGAGTCGGGCCTAATGGGTCACATGTTTGCCGTGCTGCGCGCCGTGCTGCTCAGCACCCAGGCAAGTTTTCGGCTTTGTTTTTGTTTGTTGTGCCAGCAAATATTTACGCTTACGCTTGACAGGGCTTTTGGGTGTCGCTCTTCTACTGCTTCCTCAACTCGGAGGTGCGCAATGCGCTGCGACATCATGTTTCCACCTGGCGCGATACGCGCAACATTCAACGCAACCAGAACCGAAGGTGGGCGCCACTTTCAAATAGTTATTCACACTTAACACTATCTCACTCCAATGCTCTCTCCCCCGCTCTCCCTCCCCCTCTCTGCCTGTCTCTTTCTTTTTAAAAACTGCTTTCGAATATCCTGCCAGGTATACAACAAAAAGTTTCTCCAAGAGCGGCGGCGGCGGCTCGCCGCGCGCTGAGAGCATGCGGTAAGGCAAAACTGTCTAAAAGACTTTTTTCGGGGGTTTTAATTACACGCACTTGCTCCGTTTAATGAGTGTCTGCTAGGAGCGTAATGAGCGGGCAGGTGGCACAATCAGATTATGTTACGCTTGAACTAGTTCATTTTACTATTTATTATTATTATGGAAAGTTTAAGTTTAAGGCAAATCTATGCTAAGTTTCTTAGAATAAATTTGGCATGTTAATTGTAAAAGCTAAAAGGAAACTTTGTAATGAGTGAGCAGGCCACAGAGGCAGATTATGTTACGCTCGAGCTAGTTCTTTTTGCCTTTTATGATTATATAATGTTTGGCTTTAGGGCTTATGTTCAATGAAATCTTATCTGCTTTTTAATTTGGGATTTTTAGCCTTCAAACACCTTTACGTGGTTCGGCTTATTAAAAACTAGTCATTCTCTTTGACAAATTTTAAAAATATTTTTATATACTTAGCCTCCGTTTTGTATAAAGCATGTTAATATATTAAAAATTAGTTATCAAATATCAAAGCTTAAGGAACAGCTCTCAAGTTCATCTGGTACTTAAATTTTGCACCTAATTTGGGTGTAAAGTTTCAGCCTTAACATTTTGAATATTATTAAAAAAAATATATATTTTTATATAAATATAAAATAGAAATAAATTTGGGAATTTTACAAAAATATATAAAAACGAAGCAGAATAATAGAAACAATATTAAGAGTATATGGTAGTGTAAGGAATATATATAAGTAAAAATATATGTTATATATAATAAATAGGTATATTATAATAATACTATTTTTATATATTTTTTTTAAATTTTCCACACTCAATTTATTTTTTTTTGTGTATTAATTTTTAGTTTTACATACAAAATATTATTTAAAATATAGCTTTAATATTATTTAAGCTTTATATACTATAAATATATATTAAAAATAAACTTCAAGAGACTTGTAGCCGCACCTACCAAACTTTTGTATATGCAAAACTTAAGCAAAGTTTTTGCTCTACATATTTTAATTTCTAAGTATTTTTTATAGACCTTAAAAGCCAGAAATACATATTTAAGTTAGCGCTTACTCCACTCTCTTCTATATATTATACCCAGTAACTCCCATATAGTATCCCTTCCCCTATTTAATAGCTGATTTGTATTAAGTTGTCTATTTATAATCAGCCCATTGACCTCGTACTATGGCCGTGGCAAGCGTGAATCGTGCGTATCGTCGGCGACAACCACCACGCTGGTGGGTCAGCATGCACCGCTGACGCTGCACCGGGGCTCGAACAATGCATTGCATATGCTGCCCACGAATAATGCAGCAACGGGCAGTACGCTCAGCGTCATGCCGCGTGCAATCAGTCCCCTAATGAAGGTAAGCAAAAAAAAAAATTGTGAATTCATTTCGGTCCTTGGAATACGCAAGGAATTTTGTTTTGATTAATCTCAGCAGGGACTCGAGGAGAATTCCGTGTAGAAGGACGAATGACTCAGGCGAAGACACACACAGACACTCGCATACAGCTTAAATGATGTCTCCTAGGATATTGATGTTGTTGTTGGCATTGATGAAACTGTAAATTATACAACTAAGTAGTCAAGATTTTAGCAAATGGCAAGCAAGTTGCAAGCATCTTAAGAGACTGAAACGAAATTATTCATTTTCAATTTTTATCCACAAACGACTCACACACTGTGGCTGAGGAGCTGAAGATTATAAGTTAACAAATTTCATTTTCACTTATGCATAGCTAAATGTAGTTTTTAATCTAACTGTTGGATGTTGTAAGTGTTATCTCCCCCCATACGATCGGAAACTATGCGAACGCTACCTTCACTAATCTATATATATATGTATAAGTCCAAACAAAGTGTTAAAAGAAAACAAACTAATAAATCAACTATTTACTTGAGTGTATACGAACGGCAACAACAACACATTTTATCCGCCTGTCAAAGTAAATGTTAAATAGAATCTGTCATTTGAATAATTGCGATGCACAGCATAAATAAATCTCAGCAATTCGTAAATATGAAATTCGTTTCTCTTTTATGTTTGCATATAAATTTTATCACCATATTCTATTTATCAACCTCTCTCACTCTCTGTCTCTCTGTTGCCCATCTTTTGGTCTGGAAAATATCATTAATTTTGATAGCTTATTGTGCTGCGAAATGTTTTCAATGAAATTTTAATTTTCTTGTTTTCATAAATTTAAAAAAAGCAGAACAGAAAAGAAGTGAAAGGAAAATTGGAGTCGGGTGCACACATCAAAGCAATTTTGTTGCGCACAGCAACAGTTGCTGAAAGGCAACAGCAGTATGGAAATTATTTTTGTTTTAATTGCATTTTTGCAATGTTTGCATCTCTGCGGGGCTGAGCATGATAAAAATTAATGTCAATTTTTCTTTTATATTTTTATCAGTTGAGCAAGCTTCAGGCTCGTCTTTATGTTAGCTATAAAAATTCGCTTTTGTTATTGCCGCCTTTATTAATTATGGATTACGTCTAGGTAAGTCCGCATTTAATGCGTTTATTGCGTCCTACTGCTGTGAGGCTCTTTAACAAGGGCCTCACTTGGCTGCCCTGACGTTTGAGTCTCTATGAATAAACCATTGCAGCAGACGCCGTAAAAATGCATTGCACTGGCACCGTCCAATTCCACTGGCTATAAATATTGCATGAGTTGAGCAGTTGAGCACAGAAAACAACTGGAAAAGAAGAGAATGCTAGGCGTGCTAATACCCTAACTAAGCCGAAATAGCTAAGCTATTTTAGACTTGATAGATATATATCTAGATTGATCAAGGGAAAAGCTTCATTTGTAATATAAGAATTTGCATATTCAATTTTGTGTCTACAGTTTTAGCAGTGAGTCAGTTTTTTGCTGTCTTAGCTTAAAATTTCTTTTCATTTAACTTAAAAGGCGCGCATATACCAGATTCTTAGAGCATAGCCTTTATAGTTGTCGAGTTCAATGGGTTCATATAGCTGGAAATAGTTGAAAGGACATGGCTTGCGCATGCTGATAAGGAATATAAAGTACACTTGTATATTTTGGGGTCAGAAATGCTGTCTGCTGCCACTTATTCATATTTTTTGTCGAGCCTGGCTATATATATATATAGATGTATTTGTGTGTGTGTGTGTATAAAGGGCAATATGAATGCAAAACATGAGATTTGCTGTAGAGGCAACCGCATGAAGTGCATAAATAATGAATATGTTTATTAATATATGTGCATAGCATGGTTTTTGATTGCCAGCTGGCACAAGCGAGCTAGCTGCAGCCGGAAGCATGCTGGCTACGTGGCGTATGAGTAATATAACAGTTAAACAGAGTGCCCAAGCTTATGGCAGTTATAACAGTCATGCGAACAGTGCATGTACTTAGGCTAATGGCAATATTTTGGCCTAACACAAAGCCAAAGTTCAAAGCACTTAAATGCCAAACAAACGGCAGCAACAGCAACAGCAATAACAACAACAGCAATAACAATAACAATTGGGCATTTACTGTGGGCGTCATTTCGTATGTGTTGCGGCAATTGCAAAGTTTTTTTATTATGTTTATGTAAATTCGTAATAAATAAAGATTTTTACAGACTCTAGAAATTAAGTCGCATATGTGGGTGGGTGGGTGTGTGTGTGTGGGTGTGGCTGCTGCTCTGGTAACGCTTTCGTCCTTGTTTGCTTGCTGTTGATGAAGTGCACAACTTTTGGCACAAGCAGCGTTAAGTGCAGCTGAGACAAGGACACTTGCCACTTGCTACCTGGCAGTGCCACCTTCCCATCACATCAAAGTGTGTGTTTGTGGCCAGGCGCTGCAGAATGATAACCACAATGCCAACTGGTAACTGCCACAAAAATGCCAACGTCAATTGTAACATTTTAATTAACCAAATTGTGCGTTCCTTCCTTCGTCCTTGCCCCACGACACAAAAAACACAAAAACTTGGCCAACATAACGAGCGCGAAATGAAAACTCAATTAAAAGTCGCTTAGACGCTCAAATTGCTGCCGCCTGTTGAGGATACAAACACACAACCACACAGATATATAGACAGAGTTTTTGGAGGCGCTTTAATTAACTGCGGACCGAAGAGCATAATTTCCCGTTGCCGCATAATCAAAAGTGAGTCGCATTACCCACTCGACCCGTTGCCAGCCAAAAATTATGTTTAAGGTCAGCCGTGTGGCCACTGAATTGACGGCCGCAAAATGTTGCCACAAAGCCAGCAACAACAGCAGCAGCAGCAGCAGTAGCGGAAGGCTAAATAATTAGCCAAAAGTTCCACAAAACACAATTTACAATATTTCATTTGCTTTTTAAAATATTTAATTTTTGCTTCAATTTAAACATTAAAAGGAATTTTACTTAAGTTAAAGTTATTGCTATGCTTTAGTTAATAATTCATTAAAGAAACTGAAAGGCTGTTAGTATATATATATATATAAATATATATATATATATATATATATATATAATTATATATATATATATATATATATATATATTTATTTATTTAATATTTGTTCAATATCCAATTTCAAGCTCTAAGCCAGTCGTAGTCTTACAGTTAAAACATATGTTTTGGAGGCAAAAGTCCAAGCTATCTTTAGATATTCTTGGATTTTCGGTATTTGCCTAAATTAGAAAATAAATATTTGTTCTCTGCTGGGCGTTGCTCTTTTTAATAAAAATATATGAAAAATCTATATTTGTGTTAGCTGTAGGCAGCTCAAACCGATGTTCTTAAAAAAGCAGGCGGTAGATACATTCTTAACGTAAATATCAGAGCCATAACGTTAAAGAATTTGCCTAAAGGTATTTAAATTTCACATACATATATATATTGTCTTTGTCAGTTGAGCGAATTCTTTGATTCCGTTGCGCCTTTTGGGTATGCAATGAAATTTTTACGCGAATTTTTGTGTACTTAAAGCCGTTTGTGTTTGACTGTAAATTAAATATTTCTGAAAATTAGGCAAAAATATTAATGTCTACAATTTCTTATTATCTTTTATATATATATATATATATATATATATATATATATATATATATATATATATATATTTGTTTTCCTGTTTGTTTTAAAATGCATAAGGTCTGTATTATATCTCTTTTTTTTTAAGTAATACAAATTATAATTATTTTATTCATATTACATTAATACACATAATTTACTCTTTAATTTAAATAAATTTAAATAAATTTAAATACATTAAATTTAAATACATTCGTTATTCTTTTTAATTTATGTTAAGCATAATTTATTTATTTCCTTTAATTTAAGTAAAATTCTTTATTCCAATGAACCATATTATGCTAATTAGATTCGATTACACATCTCAATTTCTTCAATCTGAAATATAAATTTACATTAAAAGTATTTAGTTAATACAATATGTATATTGATTATTAAATAATTTTTAATACACTCATAGCTGACTGCAAAAGCAACATAATGAAATTCCTCAAATAGATTTAATTTCATACAAATATTTAATAGCTACAACATGAGGTTGCGAAATGTATCTCAATGAAATTCCCATGATTTAATGAATAACTGAGCGACTTATTACAGTTTTCGTTTTATTTATTTTTTTTTGTGCTGCTTTATTAATAGAGCTCTAATGTAGGTAACGCTGTGTTCTCGTGGCTCATGCTCTGCTATATGCCGCTTTGATTTATGGCACGTCGTAGCAAATCCATTTTAATTATGCTTGACTCGCACATTTATGGTTTGAGTAGCTGGCATTAAAGCTTGAACCTTGTGCGCATAAGTTGGCGACTCATTTGGGGAATTCTCTTTAATCTAGCAGCCACAAAATGAATTCCATCGACATGGTTTCACGCTCCAATGCCACGGAAAATGTGCCTGGGCCGCCTGGCACAGGATGTGGCAGTCGCCCGCTCGACTGGCTGGCTGCCTGGCTGGCTGGCAAGCGGACAGTCAGGCCAAGCGCCATTTCCCAAGGCGGTTCTTGTGTTATAGCTAATTAAATATTTTCTCTCTGGCCAAAAGCATGTCATTGCTGTCGAGAGATTAGTGAAGAAACTTCCCGTTAAGTTGCTGTCGCCAACTGGCGAAGCTGCTGCTGCTGCTGATGCTGACAACTTCAAGCACTGCCCGTTTATGTTTAAAAAACAATTTCCGTCAAAACAAAATGGAATTAGGCGTCACTCAACTTGACTATATCTAGTTGCTATATACATATTCAAATTGATAGATGAAGTCTGCTCAGCTGTAGCTCAAGTTGCTGCATCCATTGAACTTAAGCCTTAAGGCAGCAACGTAAACCACTCTCTTTCCAGTTTTCCATTTACAGGGTATATCGAAAGTATTGTCAGCTTCTCTAACACACTTCGTGTTAGCTGTTGGCTGTTGGCTGTCATGCATACCAATTATTTTGATAGCTCGTCTATAAATACTCTTTAAACGTTCAAGTTACCAACTCATGAAGTCTGTCTTCAGGAGAGCTGCCAAGCATTTTGTGGCGTTTCCATAGAATTCAGCAAAGATTTTGCTGGCCGCACAGCTAAAAGAAGAAATCAATCAATATAAAATAGCAAAGCATTTGACATCAGATCAATCGCAGACTTAATTGATTTCATGTAGCAAGCAGCTGACAACAGCAGCAGCGGCAGCAGCAACTGTAGCTATAGCAACAAGCGGCAACAATAATATAAGCCACAATAGCAACAGCAACAATAACTTAAACTACAATATTTAGAGCAATAATAGCAGCAGCATATGGGAAAACAACGACTGGAGCATCGAGAGCAGGGCTCTACTTATAAAATTAACTAAACGAACTACTTCAATGACAATAACGATAGACACAAAAGCAATGAGAGCGGCAGCAGCCACTTCAGTTCATCAGCAGCAACCGTTGTATTAAGAACACTTCAGCAACAATAACGACGGAAGCAGCAGCGTCTGCAGTAGCAGCAATAGCGACATATAAAATAGCAGCAACAGCAATGCCTGCAGCAGCCATAACAGCAACATCTACAGTATTTGCGACAGCAACATCTGCTGCAGCAGCCACCTCAGCAACATCGAATGCAGCAACTGTTGCAGTAGCAGCATCTAAAGCTGCAACACTGACAGCAGCAACTAAGCAAAGCTTGCAAACCAGAAATATGCACAGCAATCGCATTAGTTAGTACATAAAGAACAGCAGCAACATAGACTAAGATAGCAGCAACAGCAAATAAACAGCCAGTTCGAGTAGCAGCAGCAGCAGTTTCAGTTGTTGCTGTTGCAGCAACAGGAGGAGAACAGTAGGAATCGACTACAACAGCAGCAACAGCTGCATTTGTAGCAGCAACACAAGTGCTTGTTACTCTAAACATGGCAGCAATAGTAGCAGCTACAGCAGCAAGAGCAACAGCAGCAGTAACAACAGAATGAGCCACATCAGCAGCAACACCAGCAGCAATTACAGTTTAAAGAGCAGCAGCTGCAGCAGCAACATCAACGCATACAGCTAGCAGTCAACCACAACAGCAGCAGCAACAACAGCTTCATTAAAAACAGAAGCAGCATCAAAATCTTAACTAACAATAGCTGGAGCAGCAGCAACAATAACAACTTATACAGCAAGCAGTCAAAAACAGCAGCAGCAGCAACATGAATATTATAAAAACCTTAACATAAAAGCAGCAACAACAGCAACAGCAATATCAAAAATTAAACTCATTAACAACTACAATCTTAGCAGCAACAAAGGTTTTGTTGGCAACTTGCAACAGCCGCAGCCACAGCCACAGCAGCAACAACAAGCACAACAGCCGCAGCAGCAGCTCACATTTAAGCTGTTTCAAACTATAAAATTGATTTACTGTCAGTCAAATAGTTGAACGCGTTAATTACCTCATAACTGGGCGCTGCAGTTAAGTGTTGAAGGCAGTTGGGCAGTTAAAATGTCGCAAGTACTTGAGTAGCAAAATCTAATAAGTCAACAAGTGTCGCAGCTAACGGACTATCACGAACAGGCAACGCACTCAAGTAAGCTTAACTGCTTAAACACGTTCAAGCAGCAAAGTGAATGCTAAAAGCAGCTGCTGCTAGAGTGCTCTGTGTGTGCGTCAATAAAGCAGCAGAAATTGACACTTTAATGCAACCGGGTGCCCTATTTCAGCTTCAACTTCAACATGCGACACTTGGCGGCGCATTGGCAATATATTCATATTTTTCAGCAGCTGCAGCGACATTTGCATCACCAGCAGCTGCAACAGCTGCTCCCGAACGTTGGGCTGGAACAACTCTGTGGGGAAAAATGGCTGCCAGCAGAATTTGTAGCATACTTTTGTGCGCGCTGTACAAAGTTTCCTCGCCGTTGGAGGCAAGCATGCGGAAAACTGCTGCAACCTGCTTGAACCACTAATTGGGCCATTAATAATGCGGCTTGTTTTTGATTTTTCATGGGGCAACAAGTCATTCGACGTGTATCTACAAAACTTTGCGGTTACAATATTATTTTAGGCATCTTTTCTGCGTCGTTGTGGTTGTTGTTTGTGTGGGCCGTTGCTAGCTGATATCTATGCGAAAGGCTGGGAGTTTGAACTTTTTGTTGTGTATCGAAAACTTGGCAATCTGCTAGAGGGGTTGTTTGAGAGCAAACCTTTAAAAAAAAATCAAATACACAAAATGATGCAGAGCGACTGAGCGGGCGAGTTGGCCAAGCGGTACGTGTGGTGGCTTTTGGTAAAGTTTAGTTTATTTGGTTTTGCTGGTCATTTAATTGGGTTTTCGGTTTTAGCACAAAGCTCAAGACTACCAAGTGAAACTCAAGTGTGAGCACTTTAGACTTTGTTCAGTTTGCTGCAAGTTGCATGAACTTGCAGTTCTATATGCGGCCAACTAAATAGAGAAGACAAGCCAAGGCTTGCGTCTTGGCGAAAGGTCAGTTGACCTGGGCCTGGGCATTAAAAACTTTAAAGCCGTTGCCACATTATTAAGCTGAAGAAGAAACAAACTTAATTTGAGAGCATCAAAAGGATACAAATGCTGCCTCGCAATTTCCGGCTTGACATTCGTTTCATTTTAGCCTTTTACCTTATTATTTCTTCCTGCTTTCTTGCCTTCTTTCTGCCAAGTTTGCGTATGGGCAACAAGTGTTGACACACAATGGCGCCTGTTGTCGGTTTGAGTTTGACACTTGTTGAAAACTTTTGGCCTAAACTGAGCTGACAACTTGGCGACGCCTGGCCAAAAGTTTTCATCTTCATTTTTTTGGGGCGCCCGGTGTGCTGCGTGTCCTGTGTCCTGCTACTAATTCAATGAGAACTCTGTCATGCTGACAGCTTGCCCGGCCAGCTGCTAATGGCAGTAATGCAATTTCAATTACTATTTAATATTATTTACGTCACATTGCCTGCGCTGGCTTCGCTTTTCTTTATTTTCGGTAGCGCCGTCAATTATATATCACATCAAAGGCTTGTTTTGCCAGGCCAAAGCAAACAGAGCTCGAGCGCGCTATGTCAATAGCAAGTGCTATACATATTTAATTGTGTCTGGCCTCAAATATTGGCAAGCTCTCAGCAGCCAAGAGCAGTTAACAAGCACCAAGCACCGAGCCATTGTTGCCATCTAGCGTTTGGCCATTAGCCAGCAGTGTGGCAGGTGCGGTAAGTGCTGTTATTGACAGCAGCAGCAGCGGGCGGCGTTCTCCCTTTTCTTTGTTTTGTTGCTGTTCTCCCATTAGCCGTAGTGTCATTTTAATTGCAACACATTTGTCAGCGTGCTACGAGGCGAATGAGTGATTTACTGCTTTGTCGCTCTCGACTTCGTCTCTAATGGCCATCGAGCTCCAAAAATCTAACAACTCGGTCAGCTCAGTCATTTATTTAACATTTAAGACAAATACAAACAAATCAAGTTTCGCTGGCGTCTGTCGTAATCTGTCAGAAATTTTGACATTGCCCTAAAAAGTATGCTACACAAAAGCGAACTTGAGCTAGGCGGGGGGGCGTCTACTTAATGTGATTGATTATAACTAGATCATGACTGGGTCACCTCCGCTGTAATTGAGCATAGCATAGATCGAGCTGCCTGTCAAGCATAATTGAAGAGCTGCGCTCCGACACTCACTTTGATTTGGCACACTTCACGCGTGCCTGTTGTTGGGGCTGCTTTGGATTTCATTACAGCTCTCACATTTCCAATTACGTTTTTTATACAATGATACCATTGAAAATGCTAGCTTGGGGTATAACTTGTTTTCTAAAGATGTTTGTAATTGGTAAAAGGAGGCGTGGCTGACAGCAGTATCAAATATTTCGTATACCTAGCTTGTTTATATAATCAATAACTTTATCTATTACTAGCTTGAAAAGCTTCTCCAGCTTTAGTCAGTTCGATCATACCTCTCACATCTGTAGAGCTAAAGTTATCAAATGTGGCTTGAATTGATTTCATATTTTTCACACAAAGTCCAGCTCCAATTCCTACTGCAATGGCATGTCACTTCGAGGTATTTGCTAGTCGAGCATTGCCAGCTACGGCACATTTACTAGACTCAAGTGAAATTTGTATGCATGAGAAATTTAAGCTGCTGACAACATTTAAATGCAATGTATTATATACTCATAACAAGGCAGCAAACAGTCAAGCCGTCAAGCATATCAGCTTTTGATTTTCTGCCAAGCAGCAGCAGCAGCAGAATATTAATAACTGCAAGTATTGCCTAGCTGTTTGCTAGCATAATGAAGTTGCTGTTGTTGCTGTTGCTGTCATCGCAGCTATTTGCTGCTGATGGGCGGCGCTCCCCGCTGTATCGGGTGCCATTGAGTCGGTTCGCTTCGGTGCGGCATCGCTTTCAGCAGTTCGGCATACGCATGGATCGACTGCGTCTCAGGTACAGCAGCTGGGCGAACGAGAATGAGGCAAAAAGTGTGCCACTGAGCAACTATCTGGATGCACAATACTTTGGCCCCATTAGCATTGGCACACCTCAGCAGACGTTTAATGTCATCTTCGATACGGGCTCAGCGAACCTGTGGGTGCCTTCCGAGTCGTGCCACAAGAAGCTCGCCTGCCAGATACACAGTCGCTTCAATGCCAAATTGTCGAGCAGCTACAAGTCGATGGGCAAACGCTTCGATATACAATACGGCTCCGGCCGTCTCGCCGGCTATCTGTCGCACGACACGGTGCGCGTAGCTGGACTGGAGATAAGGAATCAAACGTTTGCGGAGGCCACGGATATGCCGGGACCCATATTTCTGGCTGCCAAGTTCGATGGCATCTTTGGCCTCGCCTATCGCGGTATCTCCATACAGAACATCAAGCCGCCTTTTTATGCCATCATGGAGCAGAATCTGCTGAAGCGCCCCGTCTTCTCTGTGTATCTCAATCGCGCGCCCAAGAGTCGTCGCGAGGGTGGTTATCTCTTCTTCGGGGGCTCCAGTCCACGTTATTATCGTGGCAACTTCACCTATGTGCCTGTCACGCATCGCGCCTATTGGCAGATAAAGCTGGAGGCGGCGCGCATTGGCCAGCTGCAGCTGTGCCTGAATGGCTGTCAGGTAATTATCGATACGGGCACCTCGTTTATCGCCGTGCCCTACGACCAGGCGATGCTCATTAATGAGTCAATAGGTGGAACGCCCGCTGCTTATGGCCAATTCTCGGTGCCCTGCGAGCAGGTGCCTCATTTGCCCATACTGACTTTCATCCTGGGCAGCCGTCGCTTTGAGCTCAAGGGTACGGATTATGTGTTCCATGATGTATTCCCGGATCGCACTGTCTGCGCTTCAGCTTTCATCGCCGTTGATTTGGCGTCGCCCAGTGGACCGCTTTGGATATTGGGCGATGTATTTCTCGGCAGATATTATACAGAATTTGACATGGGCAATCATCGCATTGGCTTCGCCGATGCCATCAGTTGAAGCTGCTTCTTGTGTGTTCCTTTTCTGTTTTTTATGTGTTTTTTGTCTTGCTTGTTAAATGGCTGCCATGACAGCGAAAAGTCTGCGCAGTTGACACAAATTTAAGGCAACAGAAAACGGCATTTTATTATTTTATTACCTGCTCGAAGCGGCAAACAGGCTCAGACCCAGGCACAGGCCCAGCCACAACCACACAGGCCATTCCGACCGGTCGTATTGCGTATACGCCATGCTGACGTCAAATGTCCGCCAAGCTGCGTGGGCGGAAGCTAATCAAAACTCGCTCCCAGCAATCATAGCAAGTGAAGCCCGTGACGAAAGACAGCAGCGGAGTTTTGGTAGCGCCTGAGAGCTTTGCGGAGTTGTACAGCTGTAATTGATTTACCAAGAAATAAACAATGTCCTTTGCCACATCCTGCAGCCCAGACGCAGTTGCTTAAATATTGAAATGAATAGCTTTAAGTTAACGACGTTCGTATTTGAATTTAAATTTGGTAACCGCTGCACCAAAATCTCTGCCACCACCCACCCAACCACCCTACGCATCCATTAGCTTTCACGTTTTAGGGTTCAGCGAGTTTTTTCTGCGAGTTTTACGACCGTACACAGAACGTTTCGCATTTCAGTGAGAAAGGCCAGTTGACGCTTTTATTTTTTATATGTTGAAGGCTCACGCTTATATAAACACTATATAGCATAGCTGCTATTTTATTCAATCGCATAGGGTGACTCTTAGTCGTGCAGCTTTCTGTTTGTATTTTTGGTTTTTAGTAGTCAAATTTTTTGCTGCCTGGTTCCGTGGCTTATAGGACCTTTATTGATATTTGCCTCTGGCAAGCGGCTTTTGCGGCTTTTTCTTTTAAAGTCTTCCACTCATCCAACCCCTTGGCATAGCTGTGGCTTTAAAAATGCTGATTTTGATTGCTGTTCGCTTAACCTTTTCTTTTCATAATTTCAATACAAAGTAACGGGAATTAGGGACTTCTTTTTGGGCTATAATGAGTGGTCAATATACGGCCTAAAGCCCCATGTTGACTTTTTAAGTTGCTATGCTAAGCATCCTGTTGGTTTTCTACTTGCTTTCAAGTCTCTTCCACTTGGAACCCTAAAGCTGCCTAACATGAAATCCATTTGCAAAATACTTTGGGCTCAAAGTGGTTTTTATCGCCAGGCGCTTTGCCTGCTAAATGCTAAGCCCTTTATTTTTTGCTTGCCACCAGTTACCAATACAACAACACTAAGCTACTTTCGCATTGTGCAAGACAGGGGCAACAACGAATGGCTGCCTTTAAAGCGCAAAATATTTCACAGCAGTTGCAGCCAGTTTGCGCAAACGTGTCGCTGGGGATTTGCGCAATCAACGACAACAACAACAAGAAGCAACCGAGCTTGAAGTGAAAATCAGTTATGTAAAATCTAGCAAATCAATGCCAGCTTCAACAAAAAGGATTATCACGTGTCACCATTAAGCGCAAAATAAATAATTTGCCGAAAATAAATTGTAGCATACTTATAAGCGCAACACAAATACTTGTCGAAAATAAAGTGTAGCATACTTTTAAGCGTCATATGAAATGGAAAAACTATGAAATCAAATGAAATATTTTTAATAAAAGGCACTTGTGCTGGCACTTGTTGAGTAATTCAAGCGCCAAATGGCAAATCGAATCAAGTGTTTGTATGTGTGTTTGTAATATGTGAAACAGTTTGTCACATATTTTGGGCGGCCCAAAAGGCAAGTGAAAAACTGTAAACTGTGTTACACCCACATAATCACCATGACAGCCAGCCCGTCAGCCAGTCAGCCAGCAAGAGTAAGTAATTGGCTGAGGCAGCTTACGGTGCACACACACACACAGCCAGCTCATTTGGTTTAACAATAGTGGCTGGGCTACAGCACAACGCGATAAGCATCACAAAGCTAAATGGCAAAGAGCCTGCGACTGCCACTGACAGGCTCACCAGCAGCGTCCGCAGCATCCACAGCTATGGCTGAATTAAATCATTCGATAAGATTATGCAAACATTGTCATCGCCAGTGGCATTGTCCTCCCTCTGGCCTGGACCCAACATTTCTATGTAAATTTATTTGCTTGCTGTTTTTATTAAATTTTTGTCGCTCGTCGACAGCAGAGCAAAGCCTAAAGCTAATGACACTCAAAAATTGGGCTAATGAGTCAATAAGGCAATTTGCCGACTGGCAAAAAATGTCAACGATCTGAGACTGCAGAGCGGAGGAGGGCACATGGTCTATGTCTAACTTATTATGCTACTTAATTACTTTAATATGGCATTTGTGTGAAATGCTTTGCTTAGCCACAGCAATCGCTCTCTCTTTCTCCCTGTCATTTTGAGCCTGTCAGCTGTTTTGATAGGCAGATAGCCATGGTAGACAGGTAGCCAGGTAGGCAGGTAGGCAGGTGGGTTATGTTTTGTGCTTGCATTGCCTTGTGGACACCTGTCTGCGTTGTAAATGTCAATTAGTTTTTGAGCCCATAGCAATTAAACGTGTATATGTGTGTGCACAGCTGCTGCACACACACACACACGCACGCACACCTGCACTTTGAACACCCTGCCAATCATTGCAATTCAAGTTTGCAGCAATGCTGGCAATTAGTTTAAGTGCATGAGCTTTAAGGTATAACAACTTGAGCTGCCTGTAAAAAATTGTCCATCATTTATCAAAAATCCTTTTGTGTCTGCAGCTAAAACACATTAATCTAAGCCGCCTTGCGAGCTGTGCTTGAAGAGTTTCCCATTTCAAATATTGTTTAGCGACTGTATCTTCTGTTGCCAACCGCATTGTTGTTGCTCAATATATTTTGTCGTAGGTAAGGTCCTGTCCTAGCATTTTTTTGTTCGTCAAATTACGTGTCTTAGCTTTAGTCTTGGCATCTGTCTTTAAGGCACACCCACACACACAGAGCTGTGCGCTAGAATGTTTCCAATAATGTTGCAACAACTTCAGCTGTCAGCATGCCTCATTTTTTAAGCGGCAAACGTGCTCAATTTGGCAGCAACTACTTGACTTTAAGGTTTGTTTAACTGCACGCATTACGCATACGCCGCGTATTGCTTGAGGCTAAAATGCTTGTTAATTGCATTACAGCAATTTGAACACTTTATGGATAGCCACTAAAGCAAAGTTTTATTTCTGACCAACACGCAGCAGTGTGCGTGTGCGTGCGTGTGTGTGTGTGAATTTGAGTGAGTGTTTGTTTGACATTGGCATTGAGCCTTTTGTAAGCTGTCAGCGCAGCTGGCGTGCTGCTCGTTTCGCACGCCTGTGACATGCATACTAATTAAGCTGTTTGCCATGGCTTTCAAATTTCAAAAACACACACGCACATACACACGCACATACACATGCGTCGCAGCTTAAAATGGCTTTTCGAAAATGCTGCATAATGAAGCTAATCAGGCGTGTTGTACGTTGACGAGCTTAGCGCGAAACAAAACTGGGAAATTTGAATATGAATTTAAATTTGAATTTCGAGTTTTGGAATTTGAATACCAATGTCTCGCTGGTCAGTCAGTTGAAAAACTGAACTGCAGTTAGCAAACAGCAATGGGCAGGCTAATTAGGACACCAAATGCAGCGCCAGCGACGGTCAGGATAGTCCGGAATAGAGTGGAGTGGCATGTGTGCAGCGTCAAGCGCAGGGCGCCAACAAGCAAATCCCCATAAAATATTTAACACCTTGACAGCTCCTCTCTGTGTGCGCGTGTGGCTGACAGTCAACAGTAAAATAAAAAAAAACTTTGTTGGCGCCCCATTGTCAAAAAGCGCAAAGTCATTTTTAGTTGTTTATGGCCAGAGCCAGAGACCCACAGACCCAAACCTCAGCTGACACACTGCGAATCCAGTCAAATGGCTAACACTTGCTTTGCCCTTAAACAGAAGATAAACGAGTTTTAGTTCTCTTTAGAGGTTCAAGAGTTGCTGCCAAAAGTGCAGCTAATTGAATTGAAATTTCACGAAAAGCTGCTCCACCTGTTAAATGCATATAATCAAAACTGTTTCAGATAGTTTATATGTCTGACATTGATTTTATATTTTGGCGTGCTTTAAAGTGCCAAACCATGTTCCTAATGTGTTAATTGACTTGCATAAATCTGTGCAGCAAACAAATATATTTAATCAGACCTGCATTAAATAGAAATTGGAAAATTATAATAAAATTCGGAATGAAGATTTGTGTAAAAAACAAATCGTTAAGAAAATGATAAGTCTCAAAAAACATCAATTTAACTTTGACAAAGTTATGTAAGTTTGAAAGTAAAAAGAAATGAAGAAGCTTTACGCGTCCAAAAACTTTTAACGGATATTTATTACACAATAATTAATAATTTAAAATATTTGCAAGTATTTTAAGACTTCTTTTCTGATAAGGAAATTTTTTTTATAATTCATAATTTAAGATTAAGAAATTATACTGCAAAAGGCAGCATACTAAATGCATTTCCAAATTTATATATGTATATATTTATTTATAATACATTAAAAAGCACTTTTTCTATTGAAATATGAGTGCTATTAAATATTCCCAGATGAATGAAAGTGCAATAGAAAACAAGTTGGAAAGCTATAGTCGGGGTCCCGACTGAGAGATACCCTGAGCCCAATAATATCTGTGATTTTTAATATTTTCCATATCATTAAAAAAGTAGAAATAAAAAATCTTCTAATGTCGGATATTTTAATGATTCGAAACAAGGTATAAAATTACAAATTAAATTTACTAAATTCTAAGTAGAAGCTAACCTTGAGGCAAGTATTGCTTGAATCTCTTTTAACAGAGCAAATCTGCTCTGAACTGTCCATTAACAGCGACTGTTAACGAGCGCTGTTAGCTGTGTAAGTTAGTATGTTAACAGCGCTCTATGAGCCAACAAGATGTGTTTATTTGACGAGCTCATTTCATTAATCCTCTATATAAGTTCGATTACTATTTTCATACTTTGAATTATATCCATTCAATGTGTAGTTACAGCTCGACTGCTTTCAAATATAAGCATTTCTGTTGTCTCTTATGCTTTATAGCTGCCTCATCAAAGTGTCAGAAAGGGCAGAGCAAACGCTTGCTTAGCCCGGCCAATTTTAATGGTTTAACCATTGAACATTTATTGGATTTTTTGTACGTGGCCCGAGTGTTCCAGCAGCCATTCATATGGGAGTGCCAGTGCTGCAACTGCTACGGGCACAATTTGATTTATGCGCTCTGCACTTTTGATAAAGTGTTTGGCATTGACGTTGACTTCCGTTGCAGTTGCCGCTCTCAGTCAGAGGATGGCCAACAGCAACTGGCATACGATATGGGCAATGGCAGCTTTTCTGTTGTCATTGCCATTGCTTATTGGCCATTGTTGGGGCAGTTCTCATAAAAGTTGCGGATGACATTTGAATGTGCATGTGG